TAACTTGTCCCATAATGGGTCTGACACGTGCTGTTACGGCAGGGTCTCGACGAGGGGGCGAGACACCTTCCTGCAATCACGAGCGTGTGGAAAGAGGAATAATTGCAGAATTAATGTACGATATAGACGAGAAGATGTGATGGACAAGAAAAAGGAGGACGGGTTGTTTTGATACCGCTGAAGCGAAGGGGACGCGGACCACAGCAGTGCTGATGGAAATGTAAAAGCGCCTCCCGTTGAAGATCTCCCTTAAGTGCTTTACCATGACTTTTGTTTCTTTCAATCGCTAGAAGGGAGAACAAATGAAAAAGCAAGAAGCGACCCCACAGTGAAGCCCTAAAACATTGGCCTCCTGCTGGTCACCAGCTCCTGCAGCGAGCGACGACGCACAGAGCACAGCAGCATGAAGTACCTCTGGCATTCAAATGAGTGCTCCCTTGAGCACTAGTAACTCACGAATGCGCTAGTTAGATGAGCATGCGGAAAATTACTGACACTTTTACGTTGCCATCACGAGGGGAACTGCTCTTCAAGCCGTAGCTTACCGAGTGCTTGGTCCATGCAGCACTCCGATAGCATGAAGAGAAAGTACCTCCTGTGCTTCTCCGAGGGTAGCTCACTGCAACTATATTAGGCCCCATCAATGAACTCTCCAAACTGCGGGCATTCTTGCTGGTAAAAGCGTTCTAGCACTTGCAGCCCCAGCATCCGTAGCATCTACCGTACACAAGCTGTTTTTGTGCCATGCCAATCAGTACTTACCACGGCGTAATGTAACGAAAGTCACAGGACGAAAAGTCTTATGACGTTGTTGCTGGCATAAGTAAGTGCCCGGCTCAAGGTGCTGGGGCGAGCGGCATGCCTCTAGAATGCAGCATAATGGCCAAAGTAGTCGAAGGATGGTGCCTGAAGTATAAGGCAGCAATGAGGCTTTTCGCTGCAGGAATGTCTGCGGTGGGGACGCGTGGGGACGAAGCAGTGCAATGAGGCCCGTATGAGGACTCAAAATGAGTCTCTTCTGTGTGCCAGCGCTGACTATCCGATATGAATGAAATATCCGCGCATACGCTAATCCCCTTTTTGATCCAGCAAGCACCTGGTGCCGAACATTGAGGAACGCTGTGCTCGGAAATACATTGTGGTATCAATGTATAGATGAGTAGGCGAAACAGAAACAAGGCCCGGGTTTCAATTCAGGACATTAACACATGGTACATACCTTAGAATGACCTAAATGCACTGCCGACAGGTGTGAAGAGTCCAACAAGAAGATATCTCATATGTCCTTGAAATATTTGTGAGAATCCTCCTCTTGAATTCCTCCTGGCATTTGGGAAAGAAGAAGATTTGCTAAGGAGATGTGCAGCATGTTGAGAGAGATTCTGATCTGGATATCACATGGAAGAAATGATTTTCTGGCGAAGTAGGATATTTCACTGCAAAATCCGCAATATCGACTCAACTGTAGGGCTTTTACTTATACTGTTGGCGGATGGAATGCTTTAATCATGCTTCGAACAGCTATTACAAGCGCGCATTTGACTGAGACGCCACGCGTTGCCAAGCGACTGCCAAGAAAACAGAGAGCAGATGCTTGTGCCTCGATTGAAGTATGTCGCGATGCTGGGCACTCCTTTGGCACATTTTTTAATTTGCAGCTTTGACATGGGAGCACCGTAACACACTGGCGGTGCTGCTATCGCGGCGCTGCCGCAGCTAATTGTAGTATCTGTTTGTTGCATTAGCTTCGTATTAATGGAGAGGCTGTTGCTGCTGCAGGAACTTTCGCACCTCTGCCAGCACCAGCAGCAGCAGCAGCAGAAGAGAAGCTCCCCCTTGGTAGAATTTACGCTCGAATGACCCTCAAATCTTACCTTGAATATGAAGATACTTGAATATTACATGAAGTAACCTAGAGCCATCTCCATGGGCAACCCAGCTAATACCAGTTATTCGGACTAAGGCAGAGCTTCAGTTCCCTTGGTATACTGCCTCGGTGTGCTCGGCAGTCCTTCCTCTACCACTATGTCGCAGAACAGCTTCGGCACCGGCTACAGCTTGACCATTTTCCAAATAAAACAATTTTTCATTTTTTTAGGTTCAGCTTTGGCTGCTTCAACTGATGTCTGGGATTTATTGCATGGAAGCACAGCACAACTGACATGACAAGCAGGGATCCGGTGTGGGTCAGACATCGTTACACGGGGAGGCAGTTACTTGCAAGAATGTAGCCTTTTAGGGACTTTCTCAAGAAGTAGACAAGTCCCTGCAGAGCCCATGCCACAGCCATTATTCGAAGCCGAGACCGCCGGCCAGCATGTTTCGTCGCTGCGGTGACGTGATGTAGAAGAATCTTAGGACGGTTTCTGATAGACGCGCAGGGGCAAACACTCCCATCCGCCTGACACGCAGCAGGTGTTTGGTGGAGTCCACGGAACGGGAGACACGGCGGACTGTACCTAGAGATCTGAGGGACAGTTGATTCCACGCACCTTAGTGAATAATGAGACCATGAGCTAAGCAGGCCAATATTAGAAGTATCAGTAAAAGTGTAGAGCTACCAAGGTCCCTCCAGGTGTGCGTCAGTGTGGCGAAGTGGGCTTTTATAGTGCGCAGCGCTGCAATGTAGTCCAGAAGTGGCCTTCAGGTTTACAGGATTCAGAATATATGGGAAAACGAAATATAAAGAACCAAGAGCACCAACAGAGAGACTCATTTCTATGGAGAGGCCTGATGTGCGCTGTTTCTAGGCTCAAGGCGTAGGGTATGTAAGAGAAAGTGAAGCTGCGGTGCGCGAACGGCGGTGCAGTTTCATCTTTTCTTGTGCATGTTTCTGCCTTTTGCTCACGCAGCAAAGGAAAAAAATTTGGAGAGATGAAGTGCACCGCTTAGAATTTCGACCTGCAGTGATGATGTTTGGAATTTTTGGGCTATTTTACGATGCCTTCGGTGAGTAGTGATAGGTGTGAGCTTACGTAGCCCCAACAGGAAAGACACATGGAACCTACCCTGGGCTTAGCTCACTACAATTTGGGAGCCGTTCCGGAAAGCCTTCTCTAAACCCGAGTAGCATTCTCAGCCCAAAGACCTCTACCGGGATGCGCCATCTATGCACTTGCGGAACTCGCGTGTGGGAGCTGCTCATAACCAGATGCTCTCCAGAATAACCAGTGTTTTTAAACCAAATCAAGGAAGAAAGCAGGGATATCCTACTCCCCTAGGCTGGGTTTCTAACAGAGATCACACATGATTGCGGCAGAGGCGGCTACGCACCTCAACCCCATAATCGAACGCTGCAGGGCCTACTGCAAATCCAGTTCTACATTGCTAATAGGGGAGCCACTACGCGAGGCTCAGGCCAGCATGACACACTTACCGAATATACTACATGAACCTAACACCACACGGCATACCACCTACTCAAAGGTTACTTGAAATGGACCCTACAGCCCATCTTCATGCTATCAACTGCTGTCCCAATCATGGCGCAAGCTACAGCAACAGCTAGGGACGGCGTTCGTCCCCGCTCACATCCACCGCGTTCGATATTATTGTCTGCTACCAAGTCAGTAAGGTCGCGTCAGCATTCAATGTACTTCATTGTCACTAGTCAGCGAAACCTAAGGAGAGGATCCTGCAGTGTGAGCGCTCAGTCCCGCCATTCCCTTTTATAATGACTCTGTGACGCACAAAAGCGAGGGGCCACTTAGTGTGTCAGTGCATTGTAGGCGCATGCTTGGATGCTCGATACTCCCGCTTTCACTCATACTCTCTACAGGCCACTAGTTAGCCTCACCTGCTTCATTTTTAGGTGATTCTTTGTTTTCAGTGCGCCCGGCAATAGCGGCTACGCGTAACATACCTCCCTGGTGAAGGAGCAGAGGCAGCCAAATAGTGGCTGGGGCTTGGGGCCGTGGGGTGACAGCCAAATAGCTTTTTTCATCTTTCTACAGCGACTCGTCTTCGCTTTGTAAGTTTCGAAGCCTGTCGAAGCCTCATAGCAGAAAACGGTTCCTTCTCATTGCCACAGTACTTTCCGTCACGTCTGCATTGGCTTGCCCGTAGGGCAGGCGACGCTGTGCACATGAACCACCAACGTTTTTTTCCTTCAATTCGTTCTCTGCATTCATCGTTTCACTCTATTCTGGCACAGGTGTTTCTCTAGATAGCACACACGCAGGAACCCTGCAGGTACAGGGGTCTTTCACAGTCAGCGTCGCTGGTCAGCCGGCAACAAAGAGGATATTAACGGAGACGAGTGAGTGACCTCACACAGCTGGCATCACAGCTTGACGGTGCGCAAATACACTTCACAGGAAAGCCGAGGGGGCTGTGTTTGCAATCTGGGCTCGAAACTGTTCAGGAGTGTGCATCAAACTTCCCCGGCAGCGTGATCCCGCCGTTGTTAGCAGCATCGAGCCTAAACAGCTCAACAACGCTGCCTTCAGGCAGCCAGGGGGGACACCAAGAGAGGTCATTTGTCCACAGATACTCCAGGGATTCCTGTGCGAGAGGCCGTGCGAACGAGTGGCAAACTTTTCTCCTCAACCGGGCAACTCCCCACTTTGCTGCGTTGCCGAGCATAGGAAAGTCATCGGGTGCAGCAGCAGCGTCAGAGAACAGGTGTCGTGCGCTCCTGTTTCGTGAAGATGGCTGATAAGCTGCTGAACCGCAAAGGCGACTTAATTCGCGACCAGCTCGAGTGCAATCCTGTTCCCATGGATTCAAACGACCCCATGTATGATAGCGAGACAGAAGTAAGCGAAATATCAGCTTTTAAATGAAAACTGTGAATGGATGAGCTTTTGTGTAGAGAGTAGATTTGGGGGGCAAAGGTCACGAGCTAGGGCCTTTCATCTCAGTAATACACCCGTTAGGAGAGTGTTGATGATGAGCCTGGCATGCATCACAGGATGACAACTGCTTTTACCAAGTGATCGAAGTGGGGGCATGCGACTATCGGTCCACGATTAACAACCAGAGCTGCTTTTCTGTTTCACGCGAACCTGGAGCTCTTGTGCGCCCCCCCAAGACCGCAGAGGAGTTTCGCGCTGCCGTCGATGAAACGCTCAAGGGTAGGGACGAAGAGGCACTTTCCTTGCCGGCGTAGCGAGAGCTTTGACGTACACTTTCGCAGCACATTTTGCACTTCATGTGCCTTCCACGCTGTGGCAGTGTTGGGGGTTGAGTTCAGTGCTCAGTCAAATTAATAGATGCATGGGCTTTTCTGTGCATAAGGCAAGCCGGCTGTTTTGCACGTGCAGCTTTCTTCGCGTCCGCGGACTCGGTTGACTTGGCCGCCCGTCTTCAAGCGCTGGATTGTCGATGCTACCACGATGCATTCGTAGTGTACGCTGTCCGCGCCTCCCTAGACAGAAGCACAGAAGATCAAAGGCGGATGAGCGCAGAGTTTGCACTTCTTGCCGACAAGGGTCTTCTCACAAGGCAACAGCTGTGCAGAGCTTTTGAGAAACTGGTGCAAAGCTCGGATGACATTGAGTTGGTAGGCTACAACTGGATGCCGGCGGGTCTGGCACATTGCGTGTTTGCAAGTATCTGATCGTTTTAATGTTGCTATTTACATATTGGAGCAGATGTTCGTATGAACCTGTAAAGATTGCATGTAGGCGTGATAGAGTCGTCGATATTTCTGTGTAGGACGCACGTGCTGCTACAAGCCGTTAAGTTCTAGCCGCATTTGTGGTGAATGTTGGTGCAGGACGTGCCAGATGTCGCTAGCCGATTATTTGCTTTCATAGAGTGTGCCTCACTCGACAACTGCATCGGGGCTGATGTTCTGAGTCGTTTGCCGACCGCGTTCGTTTCGAAGCTCGACCCTGCAGTTGTTGCAAGCAACATTGTTGTCCAGGCAGCAGTCCGCCAGTACGTCTCTCTTTTGAGTGCGGAAGCGTAGACTTTTGGTCTGGGGTTTGCGGGTAAAGGCAAGTTCTCATTTACTGGGAAATATCCAACGGCATGTTCATTTGAACTTTGTGCGGGGTTGACTCTTTTAGAATGCAGGAGTTTAAAGCAGCCCTCGCGGAGTTCTTGGAGGACGTCTTTGAAAGCGAAGGCGTACAGGAAGCAGAGCTCTTCCTGCAGGCACAGGACAAGCCACTTTGCCAACACGAGTTTGTGTCAAAGCTCGTTGTGGCATCTTACTCAAGAGGTTCCAGGTACGAAGCCTTGATGCACGAGTGCAGGACCTAAGTGGTGACGCTTGCTTTTTCTGGCTGCAAAACAGGGCACGTAGGAACTTGCAGTGAGCACGTTGTGCTTCATATGTTGCAGCAGAACCGGAATTGCGTTGTGCGTGAGCTGATGCCACTTGCCTCTCACTCCAGCCCGCATTGTTCATGAGTACTTTATGCAGAAGACTGCGTATAAATAACAGGTGCACAGCAGTGATATATCTCAATCTCGTTTAAAGTTCGGCTCACCACTGGGGTCGGTAGCCATGCGTGTGCTTGTGCGTGATCTACTTCCAGGGACCGGGAACTTGCCAGTAATATTCTTGACCGACTTTATGGGAAGACGCTAAAACCAGATGACTTGCAGGTTGGATTCTCTCGGCTTGTAGGGGCAGTTGATGACCTTGCTCTGGACGTGCCCCAGGCACACGATTTCCTGACGAAAAGCTTGGTAAGAGATTCACCTTTTGTCCTTTTGAAGGCGTGTGACTTTGCATTTCTACCAGCTCTCTGTTATTTAGACTAGCGGATGGAATGAGCATATACTCAGCATCTTAGTAAATCCACCACAGCCACAGCAGTTTCATCCTACAGCTATGCATTATTACACGGCTATCTGATTCGTTTGTAGCCATTGTGGATGACTCAGCATATTCTTTCTTGCTAATGTGGAGAAGGCTGGCGGATTTACTGCAGGCTCGGGCTGTAGTGGACGAGCTTTTGCCCCCGGCCTTTTTGGGGGATCGGTATAGGCTACACTTTGGAGGGATTGGAGGGATGCAAGTCCTCAAAAAGGCACAGAAGTGGCTGTGTGAGCAACCAGGAAAGGCTGCAAGCGAACGTTTTAGAAAGGTATGCGTTGGGACTTCCGCAGGTGGTGGACGTTGCCTTGCTGTACTTAGTTCTTGAGTAAGCTGGAGCACTTTTTGAGGGTAATTCAGCGGCAGACGCATGATTGTCCCCCCGAGTGGATTCGGCGCTTTTCTCAGCATTATTGCTAGTGTCCGGATTGCGCCGTGGTGTGAGTACAAACGCAGATCTGGACAGGAACGGACCCGACGATGCGGGAAGCACGTATCTTCAAGCATGAACTTAAAGCTTGCATACGCAAGTACCTTGATACCCTCGACGCAGCCGAAGCGGCGAAGGCAATTATAGACATGAATCTGGCTCCTGACCAGGTGAGCAATGGAATGAAGGCAACAGTTCGTGTACACTTCGTATGTCCGTTAATATGCGAAGTATCTTATTGGAGCTTCGGATTTGCAGCTCACTTATATGCTGCTCTCGCTGCGCTTGCCTTGTCGGTGCCAAAGGATTCCGAGGTAGTACGCAAAGCCTACATCTTCTCTATGGAGCGATCGAAGGATCCAGAACAGGCAGCAAAAGCTGTCGTAGGACTTCTTGAGCAACTGCGTGCTCTAGGAGAACTTGATCAGGAATGCATTATCCAGGGCTTGGCGCAGATTAAAGATCTTCTCCCCGATGTACGTCATTGCTCCTTCCCAGTGGTTACAAATGGTCCTGCGACTCCATAACCCCATAATACACATTAAATTGATGCATTGGACGTACAAGGGTACTGGTGTTTTGTTTTGCTTGCCCATAGATTGAGTTGGACGTACCCAACGCCCAGCAAAAGATATGCTACATGGTTGCGGCCTCGCGAAACAAGGGGCTTCTGCCTGCTGATTATGTATTTGCCGAAGAAGCAGTTGAAGACGGACAGTAAGCCAGCACGCCAGTGCTTCCATTGCATTCGCGCCACACTGGCGCGTACTGAGCAGGGAGACGACTACGACTGGCAGGTGGCGAGGCTCGCACCTTCAGTTGTAGCCTAATGGAGAGCGAAGGTTAGTCTCCTTCGTCAGCTGACCGTTTGATAACGTAGTTCCTGCTGCAGGGCAACGCAGGCGCAAAGCTGGCTTGACCTGGCCCTGGCAGTCATGTGGCATCTTGCATTGTGTGCTGGCGCATGTGCCAGTGCTACACCGTGGCATTCCTTCCCCTCAGCACCACTGCATCTGCATGTGTTAAGAGTAGGGGTCAGGAAGACGATGGCAGTGAGTATCAATAAAGTCGACTCTGGCCCTACGCACGTAACAAGCGGCTGTAGTGGACCCAACAGCGCATTACTTTCTAACCTCTTTCTAACGCCGCTCCCCGCAGTAGCGAGCGACGGTAAACGTCGACATCTGCACATTTCTTTAGAAGTGTGCGTGACGCTGTGAATGTTAGCATGCTCGATATCCGGAAGCTGCCTGAACCAGTGTGCGTACAAGATACAACTAGGTAGGGTACAACTTAGTAGCACTTAGACAGATCACTGGTTCGCTGGCGTCCTAGTGGAATGATGCACAGGGCCACCGTACGCAGTAGAAGCTTTTTGTCCATATGGCAGTGAGGAAGCCAATGGAATGAAAAGGAAGCGTGCTCGAGCGCGTCTTCTAACGCTGCCACGTTGCAGTCAGGGGCAACGCGACCTTGCGGTCCAGGCGATCACAACGATGCGTTGTAGGGTGAGCAGTATTCTGCTGGAAAGCTACGACTCTGGCGGCTGCAGTGTGAAATAAGCTTTGCGCAAGCTTGTGCAGAGTGACGCTACTGAGCAGGCTGTCGGTGACACTCAGCACACTGACAGTGTGCGGCATGCGAATACGTTATGATGAACTCCGGCAATGCCTGTGCCCTTTCGAACACCACGAACTCGACACCGTCCACAACGCCCCCACGTGTACGGCACTCCGCCATCACTGCAAAATATTGAAGAAGCAGCACGCCACTCGTTGGGGAACGCCCTTGCAACACTCTTTTCGTTTGTAAACACCGCATATGAACTTTAGAAGTGGCAAAGAATCACTTTGACAAGTTTCGGCTCCTGGCTTATCTGTACGTAGACGCCTGCACTAAATGATTCATCATGCGCATACGCATGCTGGGCATGCATGCGCCTTACCTGAGTCATAGGCTAGCTTTGCCGATGCAGTGGTCGGCTTGTTGGGCGGCATGCGTGCATCTGGCATAGGAGAAACAGCCTTGTACACTTCGCCTAGACAAACGCGCGCGAGAAGAAGACATCGCATAATCGGTGGAGTGGCTGCCGGATTTAGGCATAAAGGAGCTCCTTGCACGCCGCTTTGCTGGGTTTTAGCGCTTGTCGGGTCCGTCTGCTGCGAACTTGTCGGACACGAACTGGAATTCGTCTGCTTGCTCAGTGTTTGGCCAGGAAGAGAAACGTCCTTTGATCGAGTTAAATTAGCTCCGCTCCCCTGTCTTGCAAATTTTGCACATACTGCTCTGAAACGCCCTTTTTCCTTATCTTTCTTCTGAGGTGCGTCTGGTGTGCAGGAGACTCCAGAAGCAACAAAACTGGTTGGTGTAGTCCTGGCATTTCCCTTACCATTAGCCGCCCCACTGCTCCTGCGAAATCTAATACCGCCACAACTTCTGTTCGTGTTCTGGCACGCGAGCCCATGTAAGTTCCCTCCGCCTCCGCCCCCCATGCGGGCGGCAGTGCTACAGAGTGAAGCGCACCCACTGGGCACTCCTACTGGTGGCGGCTGTGCCAACCGAGTTGGCAGGGATACGTGAAACGTAACAGCCGAAAGTGGTGCAGGTCCAACTGCTTTAACCGAGATGTCGTTAGGGCGCGTATACAGGTCAGCTTTGCTCGCATGCGGAGAAAAATATGTGCCAATGCCAAACAACCTTCCTGAAAAAAAGTAAAAAATGCAGTACAACGCCTTGCTTCAAAAATTTCAGGCTAAATACATCTTCATTCTCCATGATGCGGCCACATTTATTAAGGTAGCTTTTAGGTTACCTCCGTTCTCGCCTCCTCTGCGGAAATCAAACCCCGTTAATGCTATCAATCCTGCACGTTCTTCAGTGCATCCATGGAAAAGGAAATATTCGTTCAAATAAGCCTGGGACACATATTTTTGAGGAAATTCATATATTCTTTCTCGTTCTAGATACAACAGCTGTTCATTTCATCCAAAAGCTCCCAAGTTTGTGTGGTTTATTAGCGCCTGATTGACTTGTCTGAAGATTTTATGTATTGTTTGCCCCTGACTGAATTGCTGTATATTGGTAGCATAGCATTCAAAAGCACACAAGCTCAGGAATTAGATGAACTCTGGTTGCTTACCTGAGTCGGATGTACTTGAGGCTTAAGTATAGGGTTGGGGAGAGCCTCATCAAGACTGCAACCGCTATTTGTGTTCATCAACAAAAGCATGCTTCTTTCGTGTAGGTAACGCCGGACCAAAATGCCATTGCAGATCCGCTCCACTTTGTGGATCTGCAGCACCAGCACCACTAACACCCCAACAGAGGGGTGACTCGCGTAACAAAATGTCCTTTCTTGTGAGTGCCTGAGCCTCCTCCCGGTCAAACCCACCACGAAAATGGGAGGCTGGTGGAAGGAGAAGCTATTAAAACGACTGAGATTGCCTAGTGCAAGTTTCCCATCCTTTACAGCCAGATACGGTTTGTACGATTGAAGTAAGCTATGCTGCTTAGCCCTTCCGGCAAGCCCCGATGTATTGTTTATAGGGGGGAGAAAACTGCCGACTGGGGGGCGATAAACAGTGTGCGGTGGAACGGATTCCCTGTGCTCCGCAAGCGAAGAATATACCTGTGAAATGGGACACAAACCATTTACCCGCTCCCGCGCACAAACTACAAATCCGTACGATCGTGATCTGGTACAGCGATTTCCAGCAGGTATTGGCTCGAGCAACAGAATTCTGCAACTGTATGAAGCAGTATCCAGACACCCACACCGGTGAAGTTAAAAAGATTGTCCCCTCCCCAGAGCTTACCGCCGCGACGCAAAACTGGTAAAGTGCATCTGACGGAGAAAGAACCTTTCTGGCAGTTCCGTAATTCTTAAGTGCTCCTGTCCCAAGTTCTGGTGGCGACATGAAATGTAAAAGGTGTGAATGCGGATGAATTGAATAATTGGGCACGTTTGCTACGCTTGTCCTCAAGCTGTGTTTAGTAAACGAGCTGCTGAAATCCCAACGTGTTGCTCCAACAGAGCTTCGTCTGTGTATACTCTGGCTTCTCTCACAACAAGGTGAAGTCGAATCATTTTTGCTCCCTTCCGACGGCATGCTGCAGCTTCTGACAAGCTTATCATCATTCTCTACATTGTTTGGCTGGCCTCGGGCAAGCTCAAACATAACTCCATCCACATTTAAACAATGAGGGCAGCTCAACGGCTGCAGTGGCAAGTCGCCCGGTAAAGCTGAAGCAGCCTGCAAGAAAACATAACCAGCCACCTTTTGACTATGTCACGCTGAGAATTACGAAACAGTCCCCTTACCCATTAAACTGGACCGACAACTGCCCGTCCGAAGCAGCAGCTACACTTCCGCGCGGTGCAGTGGGACGATACCTTAATTAGGGAAAAAAGTGTGTCCCAAGGGCATGCTGATTTCTTGAAATCTCTAGCATTATTACCGCAAGTATCAATGCAGTTACGCATGGTTTCTATGTCTTCTTCAAAAATGCATCTCCCTCTGTGGCAGCGTCCGACACTACAATCATTACCCCGCGTTCCCGCGTGCACATTGACCAAGCCAACTCCAGAACCGATTGATACGAAGGTGTTACTTCTGTCCTCTTCCCCTAAACGAGTTCCAGGGTTTGGCAACGCTGAGCCCAAAGAGCTTAGAGACTCCATCACTGGAGACTCTGCTAACAGCAAATCCTTGACTTTCAACTGACTAGGTGGAGAAGATAGAGCCGGCATTGCGTCGCACTGATGTGATTTATCCCCGCTGGGCCGCGCTTCACGGCCACTCTCCAGGTTATTTTCTGGTGAGTCCTCGGTTACTTCGTTCACACAAAAGGCAGTATCTCTTGGAGAGGCGAAGCAACGATCTCCATGTCGTTGACTAGTTCTGCTACAAACCGACGGTGGTTGATTGGACCTGAATGTTACTCGGTTCCCTTGGTCTCGTTGAAAGCTGAAGCCTCTGCAGTAACAACAGGAGCACGGCCTTATAGCCGACTCCACGAGGTCCGTGTCGACTACTTCCATCAAAGCAGAGGCGGCGATAGCGGACTGAGCTACAGTTGCTGCAACCCAAGAGGCCGCTGCTGTGCGGACACGACTGTCACTGTTGCACAGCGCGGGCAGGAGAACGACGACAGCCATAATATGCCGCAAAAATGTCTCTACACGCCGATCTACTGTACGAGTGGCGAAGAGAAGTCCTGTCTCCCCAGAGCTTTTTCTCCGCTCATTTATCCATCCATCAATGAGCCTTCAGCAAAGACGGAAATATAAAAAACGCAGAGCAAAAGTCCAACCAAAAAGCGTCCCCTAAGCGACTTGCTCTCAACTAGCCACCGTGCATGAAGGCACGCTGGCGCACCGAAAATAGAATTTCGCCCAGTGCAGTACTGCCCCGATAGAGGAAAAAAACCAAGTTGGCCTACCTCAGGCGCACGAGACCCTCTGCATTGATTTTCCTTTCATAGACTTCGACCAAAGTGGCTGGTGGCAGCGTGCGACGAACCTGACCTTCTATTTCAAGTGCGGGCCTCACGTTAACCAGGTAACCATCGGCTGCACAGAATTACAAGCCCCTCCATCCGTGAGCAACAGAGTAAGGCAAGACGACCATTGCATGGTCAAGACTACCCTGAAAGTTACTAGCAGAAACCTTTCCCACAACGCCAACAAGAGCTCACCTACAATTTCGTAGAGGACAGGCCGATCATATATAGTCTCACACTCGTCTACTCGCTCTATGAGCCGGTCAAGAGTCACCCAACCCTTGTCCGTGCATACACGCAGGTGCACTCGCCTGTTGCGGGTGAAGTAGCACAGATTTCGCTTTGACTTTTTTCCGCACAAGCGGGTAGTAGGTACTGCATGCAAGAGATCACTTTCACCCGCTCCAAACGTGCCCAAGCCCGCGATGATGCAGTCATTACCCGCTCCCGGTCGGCCACATGACGGAACACAGCACACCAGGCACGCGTCAAGAACAGGAAAAACTTGCCTACGCAAGAGGCGTCCAACTATGCGGGATCCCAAGTGAGGAGTTGCGCTGCAGCACCAAGCAGCGCGATACTTTCCAGAACACGTAGCATATGCTCAGGACATATCTCGACTGAAAAACTGACACAAATGTGCTTCTGTCAACAAAAACCCGGCTGTCCTGCACATAACCATGATGAAAGCAACAGGTGCACGGCAAATACGCGTGTCAGCTCACCTTATTGGTACAGCACGGGTACCTACAACACGGAAAAGCATGAAAGAATGCTCCAGTGGACTGAGACCACCACTGCGTATGCTGTTCCTTGTAACTATTCGGCTTGAATCAAAACGCGTGTCTTCTGTCCTCGTAGTGCAAAAATTGCTTCTTTCAAAGCTGCTGCCTGCGTTCGGGAAGTGGCGTGTGGTTGCCTTTTGTAAAGCTGCTTCAAATTTTTGCATGGCGGTAGCCGAAGTCAATTTGTTCAGACTACTATAGCTTGCGCGTTCTTCTGCTAGCATTAAACACTCGTGGAAGCTGAGAAACCGAGTGGCACGGCAGGCATAGACAGTGCCCCAGCCAGTCGACGGACTCTCCTCCAGTTCAGATGATCCATCCGTTATTGCTCCTCCATCTATCGTTGGATGGATGTCTTCAGGAAAAGAACCACACTTAGTACGATAATGAAAAGAGTTGAGGTCCCCCGCTTGCTGCCGAGTTGTAGTGGAGACAGAAGTTTTTCCGGTAGTCGAGCCGCGTTGACTAAGCTTAGCAGCAACGGCCTCTTCATGTGTGGTCTTCCACCCTGTCACGCGAGGAGGCTGCGGTAAGCGGATCATCTGCAAGGACGCTCCTGTTACCCAGCCCTCAGCCGTCTTCAGACGCAGTAGGTAAGACATTTGTGCGATATGCGCTCTCACGTCGAGTACCTACAGTAAAGCACCAGGGAGTAGCAATATGTGGAAATAAATGCCAGCACGTAAGTATCGGTGGCCTCTCGAAAAACCAATTGGTGCCTTTCAAAGGATTTGAAACTAACGAATTTTGTTTGTGACGACAGGCAGTAGCAGCTGTTGTTCTTCCAGAGTCATGTAAGTTGGCTTCCAGGATCACAGAGCTCCTTGGCTGCAGGAGATAACGGTGAGCCAACATACCTTAAAACACGTTCCGGGAAACACATATCCCAAAACGTCGGCGCTGGGCTCTAAGGTGGGCTCAACAGGCAGCGGAGCTGGAGAGCAGCAAATGTACATCAAGCCAAGTGCCTGAGGAGCCCGTCAAAAAGCACAGGTTTATCGAACAGACGCTGGACATCATCACCACCTGCACAATTCCAGCTCCATACCAGACGTTACACGCCCAATACAAGGTGCCTCCTGAGCAATTCAAAAGGGAGTTTTCTGAGGCAACAAGAAAATATCTGCACACCTCGTCAGGCGACGGGTGGTGGATCAACGCGGCAACGACATCTTCCTCCATTACATCCAGACATTTTGCATATGCCATACATAAAGGGCCTCCCTTTCGTGAGTAGGTCGAAACCTGCCATGGGCGAGCTGCGAATTCCGCTTGTTCTTCACAGCGCTCCACACACCGTGCTCCCGTATCGCTACAACCTGCATTCGCCCTATCAATTCCACTGGCAACGCGCTGATCTTGTACAAAGGGCTCCTCACGGGAAGATACGGAATTTCCACGCTGAGGCTTGTCTAGCCAGGGCATCGGGACAGAGCTACCAATTTGTCCTTCAGTTGACGTTGGGGCGAGAGTACGTCCCCTGTAACACAGCCAGGCTCTCTGGATGCTCTTGCGACGGCCTCTTCTCTTACGTAATGGCAGTTTGCGGCCTTTCTCCTGCAGACGGTCCGAATCGCCGCTAGAATCAACGGCGGGTAGCAAGCGTGGTCTTCTCCCCTGCGAGCTGCCTAGGCGGAGCTCCCTAAGTCCAAACCTGCTGATGCGTTCCTTAGACTGTGAAGCCCCCATAGTGTGCGTGTGCGGCAACGATGAATAGCCGATGCTAATATCAAAGCGAAACCAAATCCTCACTCGACTCTCGAGTTGAGGTGGTGTTCACAGGCGTGCGAACCCAATAGGCTACGCTCCCGCTCTGCAATGCGATCCTGCTAGAATGAAATGTCATACGGCCTACGGATTCCATCAAAGCAAAGCCGGCGCATCCTGCTTCGAGGCCAAAGCCGCATCCCGTCGCACCGGACCAGTCTGCATTGCCCTGGCTCACCTCTACAGTTCGGGTAGAACACGCTGGATTCCAACAAGCACAAGCTTTCTTTCATGACTTCCGTATTATCCATTTAATTACAAAAGTGGTATATAGCTGCAGATAGGACATCGTGCGCCTCCATGGGAGGAACGTCGGCAGGCAGTCGAGGGGCAAGACAGACCACTCAGACCGTCACCGTTGGTGAAGCGCCGTTGATGAATCTTACAACTTACGCTTGACTTTTCCTTTTAGTCGTAAAACAAGGAAACTAAATGAAAATTTCTTCAGAATTACCTCAACACAGGCTTTTGGAAGGACAGTGCTAATCCATTTACTGCTGCAACACTCAGCTGCTGACAGCCTCGCTGGTCTGGCTCGCGACACACTGTCCACGCGACCCTCTGTTGAGGAAACAGTTGATTTTACTTGCCGCCACTCATTTACACCCAGCTAGCTACTTAAAGTAAATAAGACGAGACGCAAACTCCAGTCAGCCGCTAATGGCTTCGATCTATTGTCAGCCAGCGTCTGTGGTGCGACGCCCACGTCACACACTGGCCGTTACCACGGCTGGGTTACTAGAAAAAGAATTGAAGTGAAAGTTCGTTGAAGCGCTAATGAATAACATCAGATTGCCCGTTACTGCCTCTGTTAAGGTCTCAACTTCTCCATGGCATTCATTGCATACTAATAAAAATGCCAAATGGCTTTTATGGCCCTGTGTCAAGTTAAGTGACACCTAGTGCCAGAGAAGGAAGAATGGAACTGAAAAAGGCATGAGCAACTGTTGCAGCTGCCTCCACAACTAAACGAGTAAAACTTTCCAGAACGGCAAACACACAGACGCGCCTGCTGAGTGCCGCCGTAGGTTACTCCCAAATAAAGCCCTCAGGAGCCAGCATGGAGAGCATCCTATCGTCGCTCTTTGAAAACTGTCATATGGCGTTGATACAACGGTAACAAATGCACCTGCTCCCCTTTTCAGGAGTAGTGATTGCAAAAAAACAGCACTTCGGAGGACATGGAGCTCTTCAAACTGAGCAGTCATGTATTGGAACTCATGAAGTACAGGTCCCTGTACGCTAGGAACGCATCCAGTACACTGCAGAAAACGCAGAAAAAAAGTGATAACATTCACAAATGGAGCCATGTGCATGCAAATATCGAACAGCCTGCACAAGTGGCGACAGCGAACAAGAACCTTCCGCCAGTGAACTGCACTGCTAGTTTCCTGCAAAACACACTACAAACTACAAAGTGGCAGATAGACAAAAAAATATAAAGTTAACTATGTGAGCAACCTGTAGACTCACTTGAAGTGGTTAAGGAGCGGCACACGACTCACAACGAAGTCAATGGCCTCACAAGGTCGCGCGAGGAATTTGTCGAAGAAAGGAGGGCGCAACAAAGCATAGGGCAGTCCCGTTAGGCTGCAAAACACAGTAGATGCAAACAGCTGATGCCATAGGAGTAGGAAAAGTATGAAATGACTCCATTTTCAAGTATTTTAAAATGCCATTTTGCGAAAGAAATTGAGACAAGTCATTTTGTTCACTCGCTATTTTTTGCATTTATACAAAAATGTGCAAATGGAAATATATATAAATAATTGAAATTATTTGTGTATATACGTCTAAGTGCAAATATAAATATGTAAATGAATAAAAAACTCGCTCACCGACGATGAAGTTCTGCAGCCTCGATAGGCGAAATGCGCTCCATCACTTCAGGGCAGCTATGCAACAAAGAAACTGAATTTGCTTCAACAACTGCAAAAAAACACGTATTCACCCCGGGAGCTGAAATGCAACAAACACCAAAGGCCGACACATAGGAAGCGTCTATGGCTTAGGTCATAGGCGCTGCAGCGGCGTGTGATGCTGTCTGCAAAGCCTCGCGAGCTTCAAAAACGAATTCTGTAAGCCTCTCACGCATGGCTGCCAACCATGGGGTCCACGACTTCGTGGTTTTCGCTCGCTTCAAAAGGTAAAGGTGAATGAATGGGCGAAGATGATACAGAACCTCTGATAGAACCGGCCTGTGGGGATATGCAGCGTGGCAGCCAGCCTTCAAGATCCACGGGCTGCATAGCCAAACTAGTATTGCAATATCGACTGATCACACAGCTGCATGAAGTACTGTGAAATCAGCGGCAGGCGTAGCAGGCAGACAGAAACTGCAGGTCTGCTAACTCCTGGCACGCATGAGGTAGTTCGGATTTAACATAGGGCAAAGTACCGCCAGGGAGTTAAGCGTAGGTGATGCCACGTGGCGACTATGCGACTAGGAGACGAAATAGCTTTAAGCTCGTTGAAAAGCCACTCAACCACTAGGACGATCCACTGCCGAGGGAGCTGTTCTTTCGCAGCGGCAGCAAACGCTGCCTGCCCATCATTCGGGAACCTGAAAAGATATAATTAACACAAAGAAGCGAGCCGCATCCACAGCTCACCGCAGCATCAACAGCTAGCACGGCCGCAGTTGCCGGTTTAGTGCGGCCATAAGCAAGATCAATCTCTGCACCTTTCCTCCAATGGAAACAGAGCCTGACAGCAAGGCTACTGCTCTCTACTCGTGAGACAAGCTATGGCAATTCACGTCAAAGACAGAAATAACGGGCAACAAAAACCTTCCAAGAGCCACTCAAAACTGCAGCGTACTGGCGAGCTGTAGATGGGAGGGGCGGTATCTTCCTGCCAGTGCGCCTTCCGTAGGAAGGCCGCATCCTTTCAGATTCTAAAATCTTCTGAAACGCGCACCACGGAACTGGTAGTAGCAACAGAACTTCACATCACCTCCCAGCTTGAACATCACATGACAAAGACTCTTTGAAGACTACTTTCTTGATGAACCTGTAAGCTTCGCTACATAAGAGACCACCGGATGTCGTCCCGACATTTCGTGCATGCAAGCACCCGTGGAACGCACCTGTTTTTCCTTTTGCGCAGCAAGGGCCTGATAAACGCTCTGCTCCTCGCAGTAGAAGGCGAATGGAGTAAGGGCGTGAAGTATTAATTTCAGCAGAAGTTTTAGCAGCTCTAGACGTAGACAAAGCGCAAACCGCGGACCTTCTCCTCCACTCCTTAGTGCGTTAACCTCCAGGAGCAGCTGCAGTGCTCGGGCGACTTTCAGTGCTAACGAAACGAAGCCATAAAGAGCCAGCCGCACGGATGTTGGAAGGCCTCTGCGACGGTCCACCGCCAAGTCCACGTATCGCCCACTAAGCATGAACAGAGGAGGCAACGAGGTGTCTTCAGTGCTCGAAGTCTGAGTAGCATCGATTGAATATTTCTTTCGCAATTTCCACTGGTGATGTAACGCCTCTGCCTGGAGCAATTCTTCTGGAGGGGAGAGAAAGTGCGCGCGATAGAGACAGAACACCTCAAAGAGTCCCTGTACAAGCAGAAACTGTCGTTCGCTCCGATCGTCTGAAGCGTGAAAACATCATAGTTCACAATTCCTAGTCCGTGTATAAATTAGTTGAAACAGCTGCAGCATCAAACGCATGTATCGAACTCACACCCGCAACACCAAAAGCAGTAGATCTGTCACCTGTTGCATGAGCAGGAAGGACCTGCAGAGCCACTTTTGTAATGTCTTCAATTGCACCTCCATATACTTCAAGAATACAGCGGTGCCAACTGCGCACAGCTTGAAGCAGTCTGTCTCTGTGGCCGTGACTCTGCCTTGCCTGGGGAGAGGCTTCACTCAACTTCTCATGAAAAGCGTTGACCTCCGTACTAGTGTTTCCAGGTTCGTAGTTGGCCGAAACTCCCTGCTGCTGCTCAGCAAACAAGCGTCCGGCTAGAGTGTTTGCGAACGACCTAACGTACATACTCAAGCGGTCCAATGCACTCTTTTGGTTTGCCTGGGCCAAGGGTGGGCTGGACGCATCCCAGCCGGTCGTGTCGCTCAACACTCCGTAGGCCATCCCCTTAAGTGGCTCTGTGCTGCAAGTATACGTGCAGGCGCCCTCCTCAGATTGACTCGCAGTGCCAATGCAAAGTGGATGGAGAGGTGCCTGCTGTCGCGGTGCCGACGGGAGAGTGCACTCAGGAAGCCCCGCCGCAGAAGATAAAACATCGGTACAAGTCTTCTGCGCAGCGGAAGCCTCTTCAGCTGCGTCCCTTTTGGGTTCTTCAACGCGAATCCATTCACCCTCACTTTCACTGGGTGGAGACGTCCTTGTTACGATGAGGGACACGCCACCAGGCGTGCATTCACGCTGCTCTCCCGGCAGCAGTTGCTGCGGCTCTAGCAGGAGCAGCTGCTGCTGCACCGGTAACTTAACTACCTCCTGGTCTCCCTGTTTTTCGGTTCGCTGTTTTTGTGCACTCTCATTACCAGAACCTGTCGAATGCTGCTCATCCAGGCCTACGGGCTGAAGGGGACTCCTTGGGGCAAAAATCCCCCCCTCATTCAGACTTCCAGGCAGCCCATGGGTCTCTTCAGCCGTACTCAAGGTGCCTGTAGGTAAATGGGCAGCCTCTTGATCTGGTGGCGCCCTCATAGAAAGCCCTCCTGCGTCTGACGAGTCCCCAGGCAGGCTACGAGGGCTATGGAAGGCGCATGCATCCTCTTGAGAAGTTGGTACCAATGCTGGCTCATCCGCAGTCAGCTTATTCGCACTGTGAACACGTTTTCGGGAAGGGCACACGACGTCCCCTCCTTCCACTACGTCTCCGCTAAGGCTGCTGACTGAACTCTCGCATTTCTCCGCACCACAGGCCCCCAGTGGAGAACCACCAGCAGGCTGCTTTGGAGCTTCTGGTACAGAGTTAACAGTGGAAGCGTTCTTATCGTCTCGAATGATTTCTACAGAGCCATCCGAAAACGTACCCCCACTACGGGCGCGCGCCCAACGTCTCCCTGGCATTGTGAGTTCGCATCGAACCAGGTGTAGCTCCACCCCAAAAAGATAACACAGATCACGAAGAAAATGTAGTTTGAAGTGGGGCGCCCTCTCGAACTGGAAATGGTTAGAGTAGTGACATGAATGCTTACATAGCTGCTGCCATTTCCCAGAGACGACTCAGCAACGCCCGCAACTTCAACTAGTCATGTACTTCTTCTTATATTGAGTCAAAGAGCCAAGACACATTATTTCAGACAGCCGGCAATTGTCCAGGAAAAAATGTAGCAGATTCGTCTAACATACATGGTTACCACTGTATGTCGCGCGAGAGCCCCAAAAGCTCGTCTGCGCCTCACTAATGCTGCGTACCAGCGGGGCCGAGCAAACAGCGACAGCAGTGCTCTCTGTTACACTACTTAGTATTTGCTCAGCAATACCTTTAGAAGGTGATTATTCTGAGCTAATTTTATCCCCATTATAGTTCCCGGAACCATAGCTCTCTCCTGGCAGGACCCCAGGGGGATGTATAGGCACGACATTTGGTGTCACGATTGGCGATACGCAACGGCAGTGTATGTAAATTAATCCCAAATACAGAAGTCTCACTTCCGTCTAGCTGCAGGAATTCGCCATCAACAGCTCTGCTGGCCAGAGGCTGCCGCGCCTTGCGTTGTGGCACGTTGCTACAGCCCTTCGTTTTACATAAAAGGGGAACTCCATGGTGACCCGTCCGTTGTGTTACAGGCCGGAATTGTGTTTGTTGGAGTATTGGGAAGAAAGGCTAGCTTAATCTACATACTTATGGTGTAGTCTCCAAAGTGAATATCCGGCAACATACGTAACTCTTCTGATTCTTCTTGCTGCAGCTGTTGTTCAGGAGTCGAAAAACGATCAAAAAAAAGCAGTGTTCTGAGGCGGGACTCAAGTGACGGTATTTCTGTCTGCCTATGCGCCTAGGGAGGCAGACATGCTTGTTGCGAAGCGCTTGTGACCTTTGTCCATTCGCTCTCCATATTGTGCAGAGTTTAATTTTCACCTCATTTTTAATTGCATCTAAAATAGAATTGGGAATATTGTGAATAGAAATGCCCGTCGCTCCATGAATCGCCGGTATTCCCAAGCATAGTCTGGGTCTTCAGCACGGCACTCCTACTCGAACTATGGCATCACAGTAAAACTGCGCGCATAGTGAAGCGCATGCTTACACGCATATTTGCGTAGTAATTATCTGTTTACAGCTACGCCCCACATTATGACCGTAATCCAGAAAAGTTTTGTTACGATGTGCCACAGAATCGATAACTTCTAGCTGAGCAGCATGGCTCATGCGAATGTACGCGCTCTCCAAATTTCGCTATCCGTTACAGTGAAGAGGTCATTCAGTACAAAGGAGCAAACTGAGCAAAATACTGCCGCCAATCGTCACGTGTCTGCCAATGGGGAGTAAAATTCGCGAGCAAAAATATGCTCAACCGGTGTAGCTAAATGGAAAGGCAGTCGACAAGGGCAACAGGAGAGCCAGTAAGCACAACATCAAGTTGCAAAACTGCCTTTTCCAGCGTCGGTTTCTCAATGGAATTGCGGTTTCAAATGTGAAAGCACACTAGAGCCTTCAACTCATGCTTACTCCTCTACTGCAAGGTGCAGCCCACGCACTGCAGTGTGAGGGCACCGAACTAGTGGTCTGAAAGCTGGTTCTTCGTGTCCTCCTCAGGAATCACGGCGCTCTTTACCCACTCGCAAAGCGGGCTTTTGATCCTATCCGTAAATACGCGGCTGGAGTTATCACTAACTACAAGTAAAACCACCCGTGAGCACAATAGTCCACTTACTTCTCTATGCCGTCATCCCTACTAAAGTAGTGCGCGGTCTATAAGGTATACTGCATATTGTGCGTGATGCATCGTGCAGATACCATTATTTGCTCCTGTTGTGGGTTAAATCTTAAAAAAACTACTCCCAGAGTTCGCGTGGTTAGAACACAGGAATCTAATGAAGTGTCCTAGAAATATACAGCGACGGAAAACCTGTTAGAACAACGAATAGAGCGTGTGGCACCAAGTTATGCTTGCTTCTTACCTGAAAACCGTACTTGCAACGTGCTACGCAGGCGTGAGATACACAACATGCGAACCGGAGTAGAGGCCGACGAAGCATTTTGTTGATCCGCAAGCCAGGCCCTCTGACAAACAAATCAGCCTTCAGCTTTAGCACTGTGAAACGCAATGTGATAGAAGTGGGGAGAAAATGGCATTATTTGGCTCACCTGCACAGCCACAGGTTACCAATGGGCGTAGCACACGGGATATCATCCCAGGCAGCTTCGGATATGTAACTGATCTGAACAAAATAACTAAAAGATAAAATAACTGGAATATACCAGAAGTAGAAGAGCTCATATGCTCAAATGAATGGCGAAGAGGCCGACTGCATCACGCATGCAAGCTTGCAAGCAGTGAGTCATCTTGGGGCTCCACCGCTCCGGTATTCTCTCCTGCATCAACACTGTCTAATAGTCTCAGCTGCTCAAGTAGTTAGAGCAAATGGCATATTTTACTGTCACTCAGTCCCCGGAAGATCAGTGTGTTCAGTCAGAAGGCGATGGCAGCTGACAGCTCGGCCATTCCGCGTATAGGGTCTGCTGTCTCATCCACTTACTATTGATTAGTATAGTACGCTGGGTCACGGGGTTTATTGTACAAGCGCATCTTACACGCTTGCTGCTTCAGGGCAAAGCCATAAACCGGTCGCACGGTCGGCCTGAGCCAAGCCCACGCCTAGGCCTTCTATCGCCCTCTCTCTCCTGCAGCATTACAGATGAATTTCTCACTGCACTCCATATGTTTATAAGCAGCTCTGCTCGCTGCCACTACAGGCTGGCAGCTGCACTGAACACGTCTCGTCGGTAGTGAGCTGGGTTCGCAGAAGATGGAGCGTGAAGGTTCGAGACTCTCATTCCCCGCGGATTCAGCAGGTGATGCCTTCGGAAATATCAACAGTACATATAATAACAGCGGACCGAAACCAACTAGAAGTGGCGGCAACTCACCAGAAGCATGCCTCGACAAACCTGGGGAAAACTTCGAAGACATGACGCAATCTGGCGCAGTCTCAGAGGGTTGGGTGCACCCTAACAGTAACAGCAACCTGGGCAAACAAAAAGGGGTTTCAGGAACTATATACCCTAAAACAAGTGGAGAATTTGCCAGCCTCCCCTCCCAAAGCAATAGCACCAGCAAGGTCATTCTGTGGGAGCAAGGCCAGGACAGTGACGCTACTGCTGACTTCGCTGCAGCATTACAGAGTGAAGCAGAAGACATTGGCTCTTCATGGGATGTCCTCAACACTCTGAAGAGGGAGGTTTTCGCAACATCTGCACTTTTACGAGCCTTGCGGACGCATGCTTTGTCACAGACGCGAGGGGTTTCTGCAGCTTCTCGGCAGCAGCTTGCTGCAGCTGTTGCACCTTTGATCAAGTCATTTGAGATGCTTACTGAGAGACTCGCAGCAGCGGAGGCGGCGAAGGAGCCACCTCCAGCAGAATTACAGGAACAGCACATTCACCCCTTTCTATTTGTGCTTGCACAGCAGCAACTCCAGCACAAGCAGCAGCAAGGCCTCAACAAGCAACAACAGCTGCTGCACCAAAGCTGCATGCGGGCTCTGGCGTCTGCAGTTTTGCGTTGTACGTGCATTAGTGCTTCGGAAAAGCATCATCTCTGGTTTCGCCCTTGTGTTTTCGGACTGCATTTGTTCTGTGGCCCCTTACGTCAAAGTGCTCGTGCATCTCTTGCCTCCATCGTGTGAAAGATTGACATTCGCTTTTCTTGCTTTCCTGTGTGCACTTTGTGTTATTCAGCACTTGACCAGTTATTAACTGTGGGATTACTTCGCTGCCGGAGCACGGCAGGTCGGCGATGCGTGCACGCATTGATTCTGTCGTTAAGGAACTGTGCGTTGCAGGCAGCTCAGAGGCTGCATTCTGCACCCACGCAGTCATCCGTAGCAAGCGCAACTGCGTCTGGTGCCTTTGCGCTTGGATCGGAGGCCTACGGTGGCGTCTACTATGCTCCTACATCACCTGCTGCTGAGGAGGAACTGCTGCTGCTGCAGTGTCTAGACCTCCTTAGCAACTCTCTTCTTGGTCCTTCAGGTGCGTACTTCGGCAAGAAATTTCTGTGCGTTCCTTGGACCTGTATAGTGGCTGTAGCACTATGTTGGCGTAGGTGTACGTGTGTGTTAGAATTACAGCATCCTACATTAAGCATTTTTTCATCATCACAGCAGCAGCTGGAAACGCTGCAACCTCCAGTAGTGCATGAGCGCATGTTGAACGCGCAAAATTGAATTGCTGGATTTTTCGCTTTTCAGGGCATCTATTATCGGACGCTTGTGTCACAGGAACCATACAGTGTTGTGTCGCCGTCAGGTACAGCGAGAGCCTCTCCGCACCAGGTTATCCACATGCATCCTGCGGATATGCGGTATCTCGTGTTGTGTTTGTTGCATCTGCCAGCGAAGGCGCCGACTGAATGGCTTGTTGTTCACAGTAGTATCCTGCAGTGCGTGCTTTTCCCTCATTTTGCTTGCTTCTTTAGAAAAGCACCAGAGGCCTAACGATGTGCCGGTTGCGTGCAACAGCACTGGCGATAGTAGCTGCCAGATCTGGATTTTTGCGTGTGGTACCCGTGGTCTGCAGCCTGTTGCATCGAGCTAGCCCCCTGCTAAGAAACGCTGCAACCTCTCGTGCTGTTGCGATCATTCGTCATCTTTTTGCCTTGGAAAACTTGAAGACACTTTTTAGTCAGCAAGAAAAGCAGCATCAAGAGGAAGGGTCGCCGCGGAAGCAGAGTGGAAACACCCATGACCAGCAGCAGAGCCTACAGGCGCAGCATGCATCAACTCCACCGCAGTTCGTTGCTCGCCTTGAATCTGCTATGTCACTTAGATCCACAGGGACCACTTATTTCCCTGTAAGTGAACCGGTGCTGGTAGGACTCCTGAAATATTATGCTTGCATGCAGCTTGCAGCCATTCCACTGTATCCACACGTAAGTAGGCGCATTGCTCAGCGCCGCTTGCTTTCTGCCAGGTGCAGGTGAAACTTCTGCTGCCACAAAGGTGACTCTTCAGTGCTTCGGTAACCCCACTGGAAAGATAGCGGCGGAACACTAGCCTTGACAAAACACATTTCTGCCTGGTTTGATTTTCAGAAATGCTACGGGCTGGAGAGCCGCCTTCGGATCCTGGCCCTCATCTCTGGGTTGTTGTCACACGACGAGACTCGCATAACTGCCAACAATTCCAGCGGCAACGCCAGCAACGGCAGCGCCTGCTGCACTGGAGGCGGTAGAACGACGATCACGCTTCCCCCTTTTGTCCCACTGCCTGCCTCAGGCTCCCCTCACGCAGCCTCAGAAGGAACTGGCGAGGATAGGGGTGATTCAGCGGGGAAGCAAGATAAGCTTGAAGAGGGTTCTCACGACCTCGACACATCAGCAGTATCAGCAGCAAGTACGGGCACCACTCAGCCAGCATCTGTCCCAGGCACCCGGGATAGGGCTTCGAGGAACGGTGCATCTGGCGCCATTGACCGAGTAAGGCGCAACTGAATTTTATTCTATGTTGTGTATTCCCTTTTGAGGAAGGAGTTTTTGGAGCCTTCGTACTAGAATTGTTTTTTTTTGAGAAAGGATACAACTGAATGCAACATTTTCTGTTGGCAGGGGTGGTTCCTTGCGCTTTCCATTGCACTGATTGGCGTGTAACTGCACAGACATTCTTTTTCCTGCAGGAGTTTGAAATCCTTTTGGGACACCGTGGGAGGGACAAAGCTTCGATGCTGGAAACTCGTGTGCTCTCGCTGCGCTTGCTTTGCGTTATTCTTGAGGCTGGTAAGGCAGGCTGCTTTTGGGTGCAGCTCCCTGTTTCTGGCCTGCTGGTCGTTGGGGGCAGGAGGATCTGGGGAACTTGTGCCGTGAGGCAAACCCCGATTTACTAAATGGCGAGTGCATGAGCTTCCGTGGTAGGAAATAAAAGGTGCCGTTGGCAGTGTATGCATTTTTCTGTGCCGTAGGAAGGGGCAGCATCTCCTCCTTTCCTTCACTATTGCAGCCTCTGCAAGCCCAGATCTTGCCGCTTGTTCTGCAACAAGACCCGCGATCGGCGCCTCTTATGCTTTTGTCGCTGACGCTGAGGTAGGTGTAATTCTCATCATGGGGAGGCGCATTGCTTTTCTTGCAAAGACCATAGCGAAAGAGCCAATACTGCTGTTGTTGTTGGGTGGTGTTGGGACAGGGTGGTTGGTGACTTCATTTCTTTTTTTCGGTCATGCATCAAGGACGACATGGAAAGATGTTTGTACCTGCTGCTACGGTATGTATCAACGTCATTTGGGCGCAGACTAGCGGGCGCACCTTAACGCTCTCCGCATGCTGCACAATGCCAGGTGGCGCTTCCTTTTGCTGGATGTAGCTTTGCAGCATCATACTTCTAAGCATGGTCTGCATGCGAACATTCACTGCCTGTGTCTGTTCTCGCCATTGTTTTTGTCTTTTCTGCGTTGGTCTAGCTGTGTCGCATGTACTTTTTTAGGCTTCATATTTGCATAGCCGGCTTTCTTTGCTTGGCTGAATCTCTATGGCATCAGACTTTAGCGGCGTGGTCTGCAAGCTGGCTGTCCACTGTTGTTGTTCCGCCCATCTTTTCCCTTTGCTTTTATTTTCAAAACTGATCGGTTCCCCCACTGAATTAGTCGAGATTGGTGTTGCTTGTCATAGACCTGTCTCTGATGCTTCAGTTTATCGACGGCTAACTGTGGAGGACCATCCAAAACAACGCTAGCAGCGGAGGCACAGGAGCTCGCCCTAGACACGCTTCGAGAACTCTGCAGCGACAGCTCGTTCGGTTTTGAGCTGATGCTGAATTATGACGGGGATATTCGTCGTTCCAACATGTTCGCGGCCCTACTAACGCTGCTCCTGCAGCTGGCAGCTCCCCGTGTGCCCACCCTCAGAGGCGCGTATCGCTTTACAGAGGGTGATATCGAAGGTTTTGGACAGCAAGGGTCACCAAACTATTCTCTTTCACATGCTTGCATGGGTACAGGGCTCTCTTGTTCAGATGTGTTGCCAGCGAAAACTCCAACGCAGCAGTTGTCTCCTTCAGGGTCTTCTCCATCTTCAGTGAGCACAAGCCTGGTTCCAGAGAGCGGTAGAGCTCATCATCACAGCGCTTTTCATCTGAGGAAGGCCCCTCCGAGGTCACCCTTAAAATCATCCCGCTCCACTGCCGAGAGTGGCGTAGCGACGTCAACGGAAAACGTAGCGACAGATGCTGCCGGAGTAGCTCGTCCCGCAGGCCTTTCTAATGTCAACCGCTTGGCGCTCGCGGCTGTCCTCCGTCTCATTTCTGCATTGGATTCCCGCTGCGACAACTTGAACAGACGCAATGCAGCGGAACACCAACAGCAGCAATCAACGGAACTGGAGGCTCCTAAGGCACGGCTTGCAAACGAGTCCGCTGCAGAATATTTTTTGCGTATTCAAGCGGCTTTGCCCCTTGGTCAGCGACGTAAGCATAAAGCTCTCCTATCGTATGGTGCTTCGCTTTTCAACTCCAACACGAAAGAGGCAATCCCTCAGCTTGAGGGACTTGGGCTGCTTCCCACTCCAGCAACGCCCAGGAGCACTGCCCTCTTCCTGAAGGAGACGAGGGGACTCGATCTGCGTGCTGTCGGCTTGTACCTCAGCACCAATAAGCCGTGGAATGCAGCGGTAAGTCGAGGCACATTAATTAACCTGCAAATGCGCAAGTATTCTCACGAATTCCCTCGCAAGGAAACGCTGGCCGCATGATCAGGCGTGCACTGGAGTGGGTACAGGCAGTTATTTTTTCAGTAGTCTCTCTGTGCCTTTGGTTAGGTCTTACGAGAATTTGTTGCGCTGTTTACATTCGGCGGCGTTGGCCTTGTTGCCGCTTTAAGAGAGTTCCTAAAGACTTTCCGTCTGCCTGGAGAGTCCCAACAAATTGAACGCGTGATGGAGGCCTTCGCAGATGAATTTTTCCGCCAGCAGCCCCTAGTCAATTGCCCCCACAACAAGGAAAAGCTTGCAGAGACGACTGCAGACGACTCAACAACAGCAGCTGCAACGGCGGATGCAGAGTCGCTTGGGCCAGGTGATGCCAATGCAAACAAGCGGTCCACAGCTGTAGCGGAGCCGGTGGAGCTGTCACTGTGGCGTTGGGTGGTGGATGAGGGACTGTATTCTTCTACGCGTGCAGCGGCTGCTCGAGAAGGAGCAGCGGATGAGGACCAGCAGACAGACACCAGTGAACTTACTAAGCAACTCTCAGAGTTCAGCCCTGTAAGCACCTGCCGTAGAGGCTGTGTTGCGGAAATGTGAAGGCTTAATATAACGGAGTTTCCGTTACCTGACAACGGGGAATCTGTTGGTTTAATAGATGCTCCTATTCGTTTGTGCATACTGCGTGGTGATTGTATGTTGTCCCCGAGAGCATCATCAAGGTATGGGGATAACAGACGAGCACGTTCTTATCGACAAACTTGTTCGCCAATGTTAGCGTGTAGGGCATTTAGGGTTTGAGGGCGCCATACACAAAGGTTTCTTTACTTCTCTGCAGATGGGCTTCGTTGCTATTCCTGTTTGCCGGATTTCCTTCAGGCGCAGCCACCACCTGGGTATGTCCTTATGGTTCACAAGGACACTGTTTTCGTGCTGTCGTATTCTATCATCATGCTGAACACTGACCAGCACAACAATCAAGTCCGTGGCAAAATGAAAGTAGAAGACTTTGTAAAAAACAATCGAGGCATTAATAACGGTTCAGATCTGCCTTCCTTCTATCTCCAGAATATATACATTTCCATACGACACCAAGAGATTAAGCTGAAAGAGACAGCTCTAGCGACAAGCCCTCCGTCGCAAGCAGGTCAAGCGCAAAAGGGAGACGCTGCTACCAAAGAACAGCAACAGCAGCAGCCGCCTGACATTTTTGACATCCTTGCAGACGGATGGACACCTGCTGAAGGGGCTGGCTTGGGTTGGGGTGCGTTTGCTTCACCTTACGGTGGTGCTTTGGGTTTCAAGTCACAAGAATGTGCAACGGCATACCGCAGTGTGCCCAAACTGCGAACAGCCCCAGCCGCTGATAGCTGCAGCAACAATGGTTGCGCCCGCAGCAACGCAGGCGCGGAAATCCTTGCCGAGGAAGGGCTCGAAGCTGAGATGTTTCAGTGCATGTGGAACAGCGGGTGCTTTTCTGTTCTGAGAGGGGCTTTCGAATCCTCACTTGACTTGCGGCAGCTTGAGGAGATCTTGTGCGGCTTCGTTTCATTGGCACGTGCTGCTACAGCCCTTGGTCAAGTTGTTGCTTTGAACGTGATTGTGGCTGAGTTATGCAGCTACTTCGTGTATACGGTGCCCGCGCACTCCCAGTTAATCCTGGCCCCTGTTATGTACCTTATTCGATGCTCTGGAGCCTCTCTTAGAGAGGAAGGCTGGGGGGCAATTTTAGAGCTTCTGCTCCGGTTGCATGCCCTTGATTTGTTACCTCCAGCCCTTATGAACTTAGATGACTTTGAGGGATCTGGCGGTGCAGCTCTTCCATCGCTCTGTACTTTGCTCCCGCCACAGTTTACGCCTCCAGTTTCCAGGAGAGATCGAGGAGCTGGGAGGAAGGGCGGAGGCTGGCTAGGGGATCTAACTTCCATATTATTTGCCTTGGGCGATTCTGACGACGAAAGTGACGGAGATGACAACAGCGGAGCCCACGGCCAAATGGTCGCCTTGTCAGAGGTACGATAAACACTACAGTGCAAGCGCGTCTGTTGGATGAGCAGTCTTTGCTGCCGCTGCAGACTTGTCTACTAAAATTCCTTGCGGCGCATACTTTATCAGACTCATCTAAGACGCATCTAAGCGTATTGTCCCCTTTATTCGTCTCTTCGTGAATGTTTCAGTAGCGTGTTCGCACCTCCTCTCCAGCGCCGCAGATGCAGTTGCGCATAGATGTGTGTGTGGACAGACATGATCTCCAGTGTGTGCTTGTTATGTGTAGACAGACACACTGTGATAGATGTTCACGGATAGGTGTGTGGACAGACACACCATGATCCCAAGTGCTTGTTCACTATTCGCAAACACACTGTGATTTCAACGGCTTGCCCACTAGTACAGACGCCGTTGCCATAGCATTTTACAATACTGTCGAGATCATGAGCTCGCTTGTGACAACTTTCAGGAGCTAAACTTCGCATGTGACGGTCTGTATGTTTTAAGAGCTTCGACGGACTTCGCGCTGCTTCCTTCCACCCTTGCAGTGCCAGTGGCATCCTGTCCAGAGACGGAGGCAGAAAGGGGCGTTTCAGAGCTGCGTCAGATGCCGCGTCCTCCTCGTTACCAGGGCGACGCTCGGGCTGGCAGCCACACCTCAGGAGCAGAGCAGCAGCTGCAAAGAGGGCATGCGGAGCTACTTCAGCATGAGCAACAGATTCAGCAGCAGGAAAATGCGGCAGCGCGTTCTCCGAGCTCTGCACCAGCAGAGGACGAGGAATTCGCCTCCGCAAAAGTTCCCTACCTGCGTCTGAAGACAGTATTGTCACAGGGCATCCACGTAGATGCGGCAGTTGCTGAGTAAGGTTGCCTAGGTATTTTTTGAGCCCGACATCATCCCGAAAGTGCTTCCTGGTTTGTATCACTTTTTAATACTCTTAATTCGAATGTGTGTTTCGTTTGCAGAGTTCTTCGTCAGATCGAGCCTATATCATCTTTGTCAGCTGCTGTTGTCCTCCTTTTGCACATCGTATCGGGTTTCCCCCCCATCCGACAAAATCCAGGCGTTCCACCGGATTGCCCATCCCAGTCTCAGCTGCTGCAGCAGCAACTGCATCCTGCATCGGCCGTTGCAGCGTCGCAGAATCGCAGCTCTGGTGAAGCGCCTTCGCGGGTAGCTGGTCCCAGTAGTGGTACCCTGACTACTGTTACATCGTCAGCTTCTTCTGGAACTCCAAACCATAGTCCCTCTCCCTTACAAGCCCCTGAAGACCTCGGCTTGCCGTGTTCCCCAGGAGTTGAACAGTCTATGCTGTCCACTTATCTACTTGACACACAGAGGCGTGGTGTGGACGTTGACACCTCAAGACCAAACAGCGGTAGCATCAGCTCAGCTAGCTGTGCTTCGGTGGGATCGACTGCAACATCGACCCAGGGCAGTGGAACGCTCCCATACTCTTTGCCCCCTCCTGTCTGGTCTCCTTTGCGGGGGTGCGTCACTCCGCAACTGCTTACGTACAGAGCCTACACAGACCGACTCTTTTGCCTGGAACTGCTGGGAGCGCTTATGCTAAGTGAGCTGACTCCTGGTAGCCTGTCTCTTCACCGGTCAAAGCCGTACGGGAATGCTCTCCTGCAGAGTTCTCCGTGGCTTCTTTGTGCCGTGTATCTCGACACATTCCTGAGGCGCTACTCTATAGGCACTGCTGCAAGTGGCGTTCCTACCCCCCTCGAAGTGGTAGGCCTGGCAGATTCTACGGAACAGCGACAGCAACAACAGCAGCAGCCGCTCTCAGGAGCGGCCGGAATGCATGCCGACAGACCCCTGTGGGCTCGGGCCGTGCTAGATGCATGCAGCAAAGATCCTCTCGCGCAGGCCACCATGAGGAGCGTTTGCAACGTGTTCCAGGCAATTGGGTCCCGCCGGCTGGTGGACACACCAACAAGTGCGACAGTACTTGCCTACCTGCTGATTATTTCGGTTTAGTAAGTGGCGCTTTGAGGCTTCAAAGTGGTATTTTCCGCGTTTGTACTCTAAGGCTGCTGCGTGCAGGTCTTCCGCACTGGGAGTTGCTCTTCATAGAGCGGCTAGTTGTAACCGTTCTCCGGATATGCCTGCGACTTTTGTCTGACGAAGATTCTTTGCTGCTCCCAGTGTACACAAAGACAAGAACAACCCAGCCAGCGGACACAGATTTAGCTGGCTGCACTGCGGCTAGCCAAGTGGCAATACATCATCTGCAACTTCTCACCCTCCTCCACCCTAACGTTTTCTGCATGCACGTACAGCGCATCTGCCAGTCAGCCATTGTAGGCTTCTCTGAAGATTCCAGATCTAAAAGAACCACGCACAATATGTTCACTGAGGGCCTTTTTGCTACTCAATCAGCCTTCCGCCCTAGTTGTGCGTGGAAATTAACTATTTTTTCATGGCTGTTTGAGTTTATTGTTTTGCAATTTTTGCTTTTCATGTGCTGCCGCGCGTTTTGCTTCCTGTTCAGATCCTTGTCTCTAGGCTTAACCTCAGGGCGTGCAGCAGCCCTCTTCTTATCCAGGTCCTCCTGGCTCTATATCAAAGGCTGGTCCCTTTGCCTGCTTTTCAGCCAACTGCTCCGCTACCGCAGCAGCTGACACAGCCGCAGCCGCAGCAGCTAGCGCGGAAGATCATTGCGTCTCTGTCTGACTGGGTGAAGGACTCCGAAGCACTTGCATTACTCATACTGCAGCACCGCAACCACTACCAGATGCTGCTGCAAACCCTGATGGCCCTCTGTATTTACGTTCCGCCGTTTCCACCCGCACAGGCGGCGGCCTCTTCCCCCAGTGAAGCAAGGATAGAGGGAGACGCGCATGACAAGCAACAGCCTCAGCAGAGCATGAGCAGTGCCTCATCCTATGAAGCTAACTGCAGCTCCCTGACCTTGCTGGCATCGTTAATACCTTCAGTTGGAGAGGCCTTAAGATCCAAGGGAGGGGCCGTGTCGGCGTGTCTTGCAGCTGCAGCGAACGCTGCTTTTGCTGAAAGCACTGGAGGCTGCGCCACTTGGAAGGCTCGCCTGGACTGCCAGGCCATGTGGCTTCAGTCCATGCAGGTCTTGGCTATTGTTTGCAGCTTTTCGGCACGACCCGTGAAGGTCAAAGCTCTAGCTGTAGGCTCAACACGTCGTATGCTTGTTACGCACGGATCAATGCACACGATACACGCATATTTCCTCCGCGGTACACACGCAGGAAGGGTATGGTTAGTTAAACGTACATGCCTCTGTGTGATTCAGTTGCTCCTTGCTGTCGCTTTTTTTTCCAGATTTTGCAGCAAGTGCTCATCCGTTGCAGCCGAAACCAGCCGGGCCAGGCAGAGAGTACCGCTGTTACTGTCCAAGAAACGCCGGGCCACTCCAGGGGACGCAATGAAGCATCGCAGAGCATGGTGACACCCGCTACAGGAGATGCGGTGTCTGTTGCAGCAGCTGCAGTAGATTACTGGACGCGGGCGGCAGAAGACCCGTATACCTGGAGGCTTTGCTTGCAGCTTGTCGTCTTCCCTCTCTTGAGCCTTCGCTTTGACTACCCGTACACTCCACCGCCTCCAGGAGACGCACCCCCACCTCCACCGCAACTTCAGCATCACCATAACGGCGTTAACACTGGAGACTCCATGTTCACCCTCCCGGCAGAGCATGATCCGCTTCAACATCAGCGCGACTTGCAAGCAGGGATGCCATGGATGGCTCTTCCGACAAGGCGGCGACTAACACCAGAAGCAGCCATAGCCACTCTCGGCCTAGACGAAGTAGGATGCCGCATCTGTGCCTGCTTGCTTGTAGCTATAGTAGTATGACTCCAAGCAAGAGTTACACCTGGTTTTTTGGAGTTTATACTATTGGCTGCTGTTGGCTAAATGACAGTACTGGAAGCGCAAGTTTGCCCATTGTCTGGCTGTGGTCAATGTTCTTTGCTCTGCCAGGTATACCAGAGAAAAGCTGCCGCAGCGAGTTTGGCTTGCCGCCTCTTCCTCACGAAGATGGAGCTGCTGCTCCAGCCTTTTAAGGTCAAAGGATTTTATGTGGACTTCGTTGCCGGCCAGTTGCCGTCTGCAGAGGTGTCGAGATTCCAGGGACCATCGGGAGACCATCCCGGAGGAATTGAAGGTCTCCTGCCCCCGCTTACCCAGCTCGTGCAGCTCCTTGTAACTGAAGCAAAGGTGCGATGCATGTCCTAGCTGGGGACTACAGCGAGTGCGCTTTGGTCAGTGTGGCGCAGCATTTGCTGTCGTTTTGAGTAACTACATGTAAGCAGGGTATTGCCTAAGCCGTTATTGTTTGTCTGTACTTGCGGGTCCCTTCAGCAAGCTCCCGTAGTCTACCGCGACGCCTTTCTTGAAAGTATGAAGAATACTTTGTTGGTTGTCCTGACCTGCCCGTTTGTGGCGGCAAGTCCCATACCTTCTGATCTCAAGACACCTATATCTCCGGCCTCGGTCCTTCCAGTGATATTCGTGCCAAAACAACAGCAACAGCAGCAACTGCAGCGGCAACCGGATATGTCAGGTACAGAAACACAGGAAGCTCAAGCTTCAGATGAGGCTGCACAGGGTCCGTCAACGGAGGAGGCTTTATTGAGGATGTTGTCATTTTTAACAGATAGCCAGAGGCTGGTGGTATCAGCTGTATCTCCTTTCGTCGTCTCAACATTCCCGAAAGTGGTACAAGAGCTGCTCTTGATACTGCCGACCCCGCAGCCCTCTTCAACCCATCCGGTGCTAGCGCATCAAGAGGCGTCGGATGAGCACAGAGGAAACAGTGGTACAACGGGGGCGCCGGATAACGTAGGAGACAGTAGCCCTGGAAGCTTCATCGACAGCGGCAACGAGAAGTGTACCACCACAGAGGAACACGTTGTTGACGTTGGCAACCGCAGTGCAACAAGCGTAGCAACCGCAGACGGAAGTGCTGGTGCATCATTGTAGAACTGTGGTTAGAACTGTCTTTGTGAGCATGAGAAAGAACACTGGGGTCCCTGCCTTCATGGATCCGTGGCATACCAGTTTTCGTTTCTCGCTCTTCCTGGTGGAATTACAGACTTTTAGTCTTTTATGAGATGCTACTGTGGTAGGCATTTAACCGAATAAGTGGAGTCGCATTCACTCGTGCAGTTCTCCTGAGTACGAAGAGCGCAGCTAGTAGCTTGCACGCTTATTCTTCACGCTCTCCTAATCCTTCAGAGGAGCGACGGGTCTCAGCGATGCCAGTATCAGGAGGGTATTGCTGCTCGTACGCAAGTTGCGGCTGCATGCAGTGAAGGCGTGCTTTCCAGCATGGAACTCCCGGATTTCTTAGAAGTGCGGGGGCGTGGGATATTTAGCCATTCCTGTAACTCTGAGGCATCAGTCACGTAGTTAACATGCACCATATATTTGACGATATAACCCCTGTATGGAGAACATGCGTGATGGAGGACAGCTTGGTAAACTTCTGAAGCTTTGCCCCGGAGCATGATACGAGCAGCGGACAGACGTGCATGGCGAACCGCCATGGCAGCATGTTGGCCGAAGATCGATGGCCAGCAATGTAGGAAGTGGATACTAGGAGCCATATTTTCCTGTCTGAAAACATAATCAAGTTCTAAGAAATCTGAGTATTTTACGTGTGACATTTTACCTATAATTGCATTATAGGTACATGCCAGACGTGGCGGTGAATGATGGCGCTTTGGTGATGCATTTCCGTCTGTCGAAGTTAGGCAGCTTCCCCTCAAACATGAGATTTAAGCATGTTCCAATGCTTGATTTCTTCTATTGTGTGCCTTTCCGTGGAGAAAACCCAGGGTTAAAGACGCAAACCTTTGCGCTGGGGCTTCAAGCCCCAAGGCTGTAGTCAGCTGAATACAGGCTTATCTGTATGGGCCTCACACACTCATAAATACTGAAGGTAGCCTTGCAAAACAATTCGATACGCGCATTTATCTGTGCCATGCTACATGCGGAACGCTGCAACGCTAAAACGCGAGAAAGGAGGGGCACCTTAGTGCCGGCGCGGGCAACTTAAACCCTCATCGTCCCGCGCTAGGTACATACAGAGGCAACTCGCGGGAACTTGACATAGACGTCAATAAACCGGAATTATATTCTTTTGTGTAGGCTTACGCCTAAGGATAGCTCATCAGGTAGTTGGGCGTTTCGTGGAGCTCCATGCCTGCAGAGTTCACCTTGTTCATTCTCCCCTGCACAAACTAAAGCTCTCCACAAGAACCATTAGGGCAGTGAATACAAGCGCTTGGTGCAGCTATTTATATAAGATACATGAGTCCGTCCAGTTAGCTGCAAATTGATCCAGAGGCAACTTCATTTTCCTCGAAGCAACCTTGGCACGTTCCTTTAGCAAGTATCTGATTCAGAAGTTGCCTATGCAGTCCCATGGCTAGGTAATGCGACAGTGATACTGAGCGAGCTTTTTTCTAGCTTCCAGTCTGACGTCGCGGGCTCCAGCTTGCGTCAATTTTCCAAGACGCAGCCCATTGGGGTGGACAGAGACGCGGTGCGCGTTTTCAGCATCAGACTTGAGAGGCCCGCCGGCGTCGACGCGTAAAGTGGAATTCTCGATAGCAGGCTGTTTCTACAAAGTCCAAACTAGGTTCTGGAGCAAAAACAATGCCTTCGAGTATGCATAAACATAGCTCAGTTGGTCACGCAGTCTCCTGCGTAGTCCATAGCGCATACGTTGCCTTTGTTGCTCCTGGTAGTGCTTGAACTGGACTTTGGAACTTATAAACCAGTTCCACATGTAGCAGAATGCATGCATGTGGCTCTGCCTCCTAGTGAAAGCAAAGGTGACTGGGTTTGAGTTTAAGGACGCACAGGAGCTATCAAGAGTTCCCATTCAGTTAAGCAGCTGTAAGTGCAAGTCTTTTTGCTTATGCCCTTCCAGATAGCGCATTTGACGAAGCTGGCCCCGCCTCCAACAAGATAAAGAAACTAAGAAAGCAAATAGCTGAGCAAAATCGAGAACTGCAACGACAACAACGTGAGCGCTCATGCAGCATCGTCCAGAAAATCGTGCAGGAAGAATGGGCTACTGCTCAGAAGGCGCTAGCAAAGACTTCTGTGGCAAGTACGCGGAAAAATAACGAAATCCAGTAAACCCTAAGCGTGACTTTTACGAGCAATCTGATGGGTTGGCAGATGCAGTCGTGCTGATGCCTGCATTTTGCATCAATGGCTGCAAAAAGAAGAAACAGCAATCGATGTGTGGCCGTATTAAAGGACAGCTGTAAGGATATGACTAAAAGATAAGTCGTTGGTATGTCCACAGAGAGCATTGTTCTTATCCAGTAGGGCCCGCCAGCAGAAACTCCTACGTTGTAACGGCATTTTTCTTCTTTGTGCTGTAGCTAGCAAATATAATGGGCAGGGGTCTGTTGAGCGCTTGTGCGGGGAAGCGGAACCGGAAAACAAGGGTTACCTCGAGGGCCCCTTTGCCTCCACAAGCCGAAAACAAAGCGCATATGCAGGGCGTCTAAGAGACCTTTCAGCAGCCGATAAGTAAGTCATCTCGCAAGCGCTTGGCAAGCACTTGTAGCCTTGCAAAGGATACAGTTTAAGCAAAAGTTCGGGACGCAGTGCTTGTTGAATTGCAGGCCCGTGGATGCCACTGTCCCAGAAAAGCAATCTCGGCTACTAAGTCGCAGTCTTAGCGTGTTCGAGCAGAAGAAAATTGAAAAAGCCCTTCAGGCGCAACAGAGGTCCATTCTAGAGGGAACGCCTCAGCGCATAGCGGGGAGAGTGCACTCGGGTCCATCATTCAGGTGCTGCCCTGCGGAGGTGGCATTTAACGGGTTCGAAGCAGGAGCTGTGTACACACAAAATGTCGAAGTAACCAACGTAAGCTTGGGCTTTAGCACGTTCCGAGTACTGCCCCTGGCTGACGATGTCGAAGGCATCATCTCCGTAATATTCGAGGCTCCGGGGAGGATTTCCGCCGGACGAAGTGCGCGACTGACGGTAGTATTCGCTCCGCAGAAGGAGGAAGATCTTAGTACTGAAGTCATTTTACTTTCCCCCACGGGGCCACAATCGCTGCCAGTAATATGTTCTCGAAAAAGATCAGCTTTGTCTTTCCGGCCGCACAGGCAATCCCCTGAGGAGCTTTTGAAGCTCCTGCACAAATCGCCGACGTCAGCAAAGGGGGTTCGTGTTGCAGCTTCCGAGATTTTGACTAGAGAAAAATCGAAAATTATGAAGAATGCACTAAGTCGGAGTGACAAATATCGAGAAACCGGAGGAGAGCGAGGTCCAGAAGAAGAGGCGCCTACAGATGGAGTTGTTTATCTTCCTGCTGGACACATTCAACTGGGTGAAGTGGCAGCGGTTCGCTTTAGACTTTCTAACACAGGAAGCCTTGGCACTGCCTATCGCCTCTTCCCGGTCACTCCAGAGGAGCTCCAAGAACATCTTGAGCCTGAATCCCCATCTTCACAACAAAGTGAACAGCCGAATGAGACGACCAACAGTGTACAAGATTTAGCTGAGTTACCTGCAAGAAATCAAAACACGGAGGAAACTGCCACATTGAACTCTGTAGATGCACAGCCAACAGAAATTCAAGAAAAAGATAGCATATTTGGGCAGGCGGAAGAGGACACGAGAAGCTTCAACGCTTCTGGATGGCTGGAGGCTCTACAAGGTGAAGCAGTAGTTTTAGCACAACGACTTAGGATCTCCGACAAGCACAACACGTTTGCCTGGGCAAAAATAGTGTCTAGCGGTCTATCTAAGTTGTTGGGAAAGAAAAAGGAGCAGGCTAGTCGAGAGGCATCTTGTCCAGAAACAACCTTCCAGCTCTCTCTTCGAAGCACGCTTGTGAAGAACGCTGCGGGGGAGTTAGATGCCCTTCAGACTCAGGAGATCACGATTGTTCATGCTCCAACCCGAACAGGACGGTTTGTTGGATTCTTTGCCTTGCAGTTTTCCAACAAAGAGGTATTGTTCCATCTTCGCATCGCGTGATAATTCGTACTTTTCAAGGCTTCCAAATACAAAGCAGTGCAGCTCTGGAAAAGCCTAATCCGCGTCTTTTCAACTCGTCTGGACATCAGATTAGGCACTAGGCTAGCACCAGAATTTAGCGTAGGCCACTTGCATTTTCGTTCGTTTTGTGAGCAGCACGACGATGTGATAGTAGTTGTGGACGGGCAATGCATCTTGCCACCTGTCTGCATGGACGCCCCGTTGCATGATTTGGGAATTTGTGTACCGAATCGCGTGTACCGGCAGCATTTCCAAGTCACAAGCAACAGTTCCTTGACTCGCACGCTGCAGGTGGTTTCACCCGAGGCAGAAGAGGGGGTCCTATGGGTAGAGCCACGTTGTTCTTTTGTACAACCACGGGGAGTGGCCTCTCTAACTGCACACGTGTGTCTCTCGTTCCCCTTCTTCGACCGGCATCCCGAATACGTACAACCTCTTTCTCCTGTCATTGCCAAGACCAACCTGAAGGCAATAGCCTTCAAAATACCCATTCAGATCAAAGCGAGTGATCAAATACTTTGTGCGGAGACTGCCATCACAGGTGTGCAACCAAAAGGCACGTTTACCAATCACGTAAGCCTCCTCTTTGCATGTGTACAGCTGTTGGCTGAGTGAAAGGGCCACGTTTGGACAAGCCACAGCGACACAAATGAGGTGGAAACTTTTTTTTGTGCCACAGAAATAGCACAGGTGTGCGATTCTTCGCTTCTTACGCGGTGGACCACATTTATTTTTCTTTTGTAAACAATGCCTCATTCAATGTGCAGGCACCCTTACTGAGCTTCATCTGCGCCTCTCTCGTACAACCCTCAATTTTGGAACTTCGGACAACACGACTCGTCGTATGCAGCTAATGAGAGTGCATAATCCATCTCTTTTGATTGCATCGTACGGCTTCCGCTCCTCTGATCGCGCTTTAAGAGTCTTGGAGCCGCCTCAATTTTCAGATATTTGTGGAGGAACTGAGAAACAATTATCCACTAAAACACATCAAGATAGTTTTTCAGCAGCAGGCGCGGTAAGTACTTTCCTTTCACAAGACCTGAGCAACGGCGCTGCTGCATCAAGAGAGCCTTCTGCCAAAGAAGAGGACCCCACTTCGAAGAGGATATGCGGATCTGTGATTGTACCTGCGGAAGGAGGTCGTGAGATGCCGCTCTCTTTTCTGGCGCCTGAGGAGTGGAAGGGAGAAAACAATAGAACATGGGACGATCTGCACCAGTACTTACCCCACATTGATTACGGCGGGACAGGTGTGTTGCTACCTGGAGAAACACGGACGTTCGCTGTTGTTCTAGATCCTGCCAAGCTGCGATGTGATGCGCATGCCTTACAATTAGCCACTGGCAAAGCTGTAGAACGTGAAGGAGTTCTGCGATTGCGGGTCCTTTTGGCAAGCCAAGCTGCGTACGAAGTGAAAATTCCCTGGGCGATCACTTTTGTGGAATGTCCGATTTCAATTCTGCCCTCTCCCACTTTAAAGTTTCCTGCCATACCACTTGGCCAGAGGTCAACGGCAACCCTAGAGCTAAAGCTTTCAGTCAGTTCACTTGCACCGGGGAGAGGAGAGATTGAGGGGGGTCAGAACCATGCAAGATTCCCTGAAACAACAAAGCAAGCCGCACAGTCAATGGCTATTTTGGTAGATGTCCAACAGCCACCGTCTAGACTAAGTTGCCTCAGCATCACGCCAACTCGAATCCTGATGGATTTTAAGAAACGTTGTGCCTCAATCTTCGTCTGCTTTACCCCCACAAACGAATACATGAAAATGCACCATTTCTGGCCAATCACTCCAGTTCAAGAAAAGGAAGATGATATTAAGAAATCACTCGTCACTTCAATTGTCATTGAAAGTACGAAACTTGCATCTGCAAAAAAAGTACAGTCCAATAAGGGGGGAGTGCGTGAAGAAAAGGCTCAAGTAGCATCGACTGCAGGGGCTGCTAAAGGCCGGGAAGGTGTAAAGAAGACAAGCAAGACCGAGGTTAACACACCTCCAGACACAAAGAACACAATGGAGAAGAGCTTGACACATGGAGAGGCAAAGGCCAAGCAAAGTAGATTGAATTCAAGGCCTGTAATGAACAATGGAGACGAAGGCGACTCTTCAACAACACTTGCTGTGGAAGAATCCGCGGAGGGCGCAGGTAACGATGCACGTCCTGCAACTGCTACTTCAAATGCTGCTAATGCTGCAGAGACGCTTTGCACCTTGGACAGAACATGTGGAAGAAACATAAGTGAGGTTCTGCTCGAGGTGGCCCGGGCTGGAGGCGCTCGGTGGACTAGCCTGGAAGAGGATGGGGGTGGCGATCTCTTTGCTTTCGTAAACCCACGGGCATACCATCATGCTCGCTGGCTAATACCGCTTAAAATTTATCGTCTTACGGCTAAACAGGTCGACGCCTTTCTTTCTGGAGAGGAGCTTGTGTCTTCACAGCTCCCTATTAGCCCAACGGCGGAATCGTTCATTGAGGTGAGGTTCTCAAATACCGAGTTCGCCACCTTTTGTCACTGACACAGCAACATCCCATACTCCAACCATGCGGCTGGGTTTCCAGTTGTCGCTCCAGAGTTCTTGCTTTTAACACTGATCTCCGTAGGTTTGCACCTGCGCAACACCTGCACTCGTCGCCGCCTCGCCAGCTCAGGCTAACTTCGGCTCTGTAATGGTGGGACAACAAGTCTTCCAGCACGTATTTCTCACCTGTGCTCCCTTTGCACCGCCCTGTTACCATTCGTTCCAAGCTCTGCCACTGCCGCTAGGCAGCAGATTCAATCTCGTCAGCTCCTCCCGAGAGATGGGCCCTGGACGACCGCTGCGCCTCACCATAGCTTTTCAGCCCAATGCCCCTAAGGCAAGTAAAAATTCATCCATTTAGCAATGTAATATATACATACAGCGGATACTGGCTCTGCAGAACAAGCGATTCACAGCAGCGGGAGTGTGTGGGATTCTCGCTAAAATGACTTTGCTGCACCGTTTATACACAGCATTGCTTCTTACTACTTGATGTACTTGAAGTTGTGTTATGATGCCTTTTGTCTCCACAGAACTTCACAGCAGAACTCACGCTACAATCGGGACGCACCCGGATCAAAATCCCTTTGAGTGGAAAAGGCACCGAGCAAACAGTAGACGTGATTCCCTCCTTGGCAGCCTACGATATGGGTGCTGTGTTTTGCACTTCCCAAGGCAAGGGTAATCGCCTGCCAGGCAGTGACGCGATAAGCGACAGCGCAACTACCACAATCGCGCAGGACACGTTAATTGTTTCAGTACACTGCACAATGCGATTCCGCACTGAGTCCGAGCAACATTTCATTTGTACGACTTATTTCCTCCCCGTTTCATGCATGCATGCTTCGCATTTATGAAAATTGAGAAAAGCTTTGCAAAACTTTGCAACATGCTTGCAGGAGCTGCCTGTTCTTCATCCACAAGTTACGTCGTGACTCTCAGAAACAAGACATCCACCCCACTCGCATTTACTATTCGGCCCAAGCAGACTCGGTACCCTCAGCTAGACTGTGGCAAAGCAGGCACAGGGCTGAATTGCTTCTCGTGCGAGCTAGAACATGGTGTACTCCTTGGGTCGAGCTCAGTGGACGTGGCATTCCATTTTAGGCCGCAGCTCCCAGGTAAAGTTTCCCCTTGTCTGTCGCGCCTAATCTAGCCTCCTTGAGTCATTATGAAGGCTTGGAACAACATGGCCGTGCATCAGAAGAGAACAGAAGCTAAGTACGTTTTCGTGATTTTCCTCCGTCTGCGCTATAGAGGGCTGGCTAAAAGGTGATTTTGAGCTTACATTTGCGATTGAGGGACAAGCTCCGAGAACATTAAGCTTTTTTGGCCTAGCGACAGCAAATCCGATGTATGTGGCCTTACCACTGCTAGGCGGCGGGTCGTTTTCCTCCCCTCGCGAATCTGGGACCTGCTCACTGCGCAGTGGGTACAATAGCCACAGCCACAGATGTGACTGCAGCGGCCGTGCTGAAGGTAGGAACTTTCGCGAGGCACTGCAGGACGGAAGCACCTGTCTAGCTTGCTGCATGGAGCTCCTTCCAAGGCTTTCTGCAGAGCGTAACCTTCTAGGCACCGACGACTGTGATGCTCCTTTGAATCGTGTGGCGGCCGATGAGGGAAATGCAGCCCTCAAAACAAGAAACCAGGTGCCTTCTAACCAACAGGTGCAACAAGCGAGCAGTGAATGCGGAGCTGATAAAAAGCGCCTTGAGTTCCAGCAGGCGCTTGAAGTACGATTCGGCCCTCCTTCCCTTGCCTCTGCTCGGAATTCAACGGATCGCACAAGTTTCCCGCCAGCAGCTAGGCCCATTCACGACGGGTCCGACGAACACATAGGGAGTTTTCCTCCAAAAGCGTGCGAAGAAAGGCAGAAGGGGGAAACAGGAGGAACGCAGCAGGACAATGACATACTCGATGATGACGTCACGCGCACACTAGTGGTTGCTGGAGCGTGGGGTCCAGGTCGCCACGGTTTACCTCCCTATGCTGCTATCCGAGGTGAAGTTTGGGGGAGCTTTGAGTTCAGTGTAGACCCTTCACCCCACTCAAGATTGTTTACTTTCGAGCCCTCGAAGGGGACTGTCTACCATGGAAGCAAGCAAATGATTCGTGTTCTCTTTTCTCCTCAGAACCCGACACCCAGTGAGTTGCAGAGACCTGCAATTTTCTATGATACGATCACCTAAACAGAGTGTTTTGCGCTCAAGTCAGGCTGGGAAGCGTTTAAGAGTATAGGCTACGTGCGCTAGTAAACGATGTTCCGAGCTAGTTCAATTCCCTCATAATATCTGCGTTCCTGCGTCTGCAGCAGAGGAACGCATCCGCAGTGTGTTGAGCCATATACCACCTGGAGCTCTGAAAACCCAAGAGGTGACGGCTACGGCAAGGCTTTACTACCGCGGAGCCCCCGGAACATCATACTCACAGGGCCAAGAAGTGGCAATGATACGGTTGATAGCGCCTTTCTCTGGCGCATTATGATATAGAAGAAATTTAAACTAGTATTCACTCTGAAACAAATTTGTTATTAGTCGGATCAGTAGTTCGTCAAAAGTAGAGTGTCTTGCCCAAAGTACGCCTTTCAGTCAGTCATTACTATGCGTACGCATTTGCCGATGTACTTTCTTTCTGTTGATTTTCGATGAGAATACCTAAAGGCGCAGAGGAACATTAGGGGCTTTATTGCGCTGAACGTACTGCTATCGCTGGTGCAACACGGTGTTGGGAACCTCGGTGCTTCATGCTGGTGGGGATAACCTGCCAGTATGCACCAAAAGGAATTTCGATATCTTTTTCTGGCATTTCCAAACGCTCTATTACGAATGAGTGTTTTCGTTTCTCGCCTTTGCCAAGCATGCAACATGCAGTTAGCCGTGTGCTCGTGCGTGGTCCGGAGAAGCGGTGACCTCGTAGGTCTTACTCCAAAAGAGACTCAAATTTGGAAAAATCAAGAACTTTCAACTAAGCATTGATAGTTCAAACAATATCACGCGCGAATTTTGTGTGTTAAGGTCGCTATCGAACGCGACAGAGAGCTCCCCTATTTCGGTGGTCTCAATTATTGAATAGGCTCTACTGGGGTCAGAACAGTTATATTCTCTATGAAATCAGTTTCGATAGGCATCTGGCATTGTACTGCTTGTGCCGAGCTGCTGTACAGAAGGGACTACGTGGGGTTGTGTGGCGCGAGAGTGACGTGCACAGCGCGGTGGTACGCAGCTTACTGAGCCGGCACAGTTTGCTTCTTTCCAGCGAGCCACGAAGGCAGGGGACAGACCACTCATCAGCTGGAGTTCATAACACAGGATATACTTGAAAAGCTTGAATGCGTTGCGTGCCGCCCACTCCTCCAGCGCTCCCACACGTTGCGAGGCCAACGCGAACCGGCATGGATTGGCATCAGGAGAGGGGTAAGAGAGAAACTAAAAAAATATGTCGGAGCGAGGTGAAGGAGGCACGAGGAGGGATCCACGGCCGGGTCGGCAAGGAAGCCCGAAAGAGGAACGTGGAGGTGGCCACAGGGGTCTGCAAAGAGAAGAGCGACGGCATGGAGAGAGCAGAAGAAGTTGGGGGCCATCGGAACAGCCCAGTAGATTACGGGAAGCGGACTACAGATGCACTCTAAGTGGGAGAGGCAGGGGATTTAGAGGAGGCCAAAGGCAGCAACGTTTGCCAGAGTATCTTGAACGTGCCCTCGAATCGACAAGGCAGAGAAAGGGCCAGGTGCTCTGCAATGCCTGGAGCATGCACCTAGAAAGTGACCTGAAGGCCTGGGGTTATCCCTTGAGCATAAAGGAAAGTGGGACTGGGAGACCGGTAGGTGCGCGTGACGCCTTTTTAACCTAAAGGAGAGTGGGACTTAAAGATTGGTAGGTGCACGTGACGCCAACCGAACTATCCATAGCGAATACTGCCAAATTCTTCTAGGCCAAGTTCGTTCCACTTACTCCAACACTATCTTGCGTCAACAGGTTGAGGAAAAGAAGGAGCGTAGAAAGGTTGTGGCTGAGCTACTCAAATCTCTAACGGGAACCCAGAAGCCGCTGGCCGGCGAGACACCGAGGAGGGTTGTGTCAAGAGGGGCTCAGCACTCGGAATTATTAAGGTGGATTATCGTCTACTCAGAACGCATAAGAGAGCTTATACTTGACGAACAAACACGTGAGGTTGCTGTACGAGAAGGAGAAGCTGCATCGAAGGTATACAATGTTACCTTTGGGGAGGAACGGCAGGTGAGTCGAGCTTCATTAGGACTGCCTTGGGCTTAACTGCACACCGACTTTCTTCTCATTCCGTTAGCGTGAGAAAAATCAAGTCTTCGCACGTGATAATACATTGTAAATCCATGACAGTTCTATTCGTGTACCGTGGAGTACAGACATTGATCAACTGTCACTGCATATATGCACCGGCCAGCTTTTTTGCATTCTGCTGCCGTATAACTGTGTTCGGTGATCAGTTGACGGGCCCTAATTGGCGCTTCTACTTCGTTGCGGCCATGATGATTACGTTGGAGGCAGCGAATTTCCGAAGGGCTCTGGGCCAATCACAGTACATTAAACTAGATACGCGTACTCTTAGAACTGATGCGCAGCTCTACGGCATTGATGCAACGCTGATTCAAAGTGAAAAGGGTAAGCTGTCCACAGTGGTAGTCTCAGTGCTTTTGCTTGGCTAGTCACTCTCTGCATATGGCTAAAACTTATCTCCATTGGAGAGAGCCGTATCACTGTTTCACAGTAAAGCAACATCGAACAACTTAACAGGTGCGCAAGCGCCCCTAGCGATACCAGCCAATAACTCCCTTCAATTTAGCCTCCGTGACTGATGATCCATATTCTGCACTTATCTCGTTGTTGCAGCTTGGCTTATTAAGGTGAACCGGCACGACCGCAAGCTTGAGCCTGGCCTCCTAGAAGATCGCCTGCGGGAGATGGACTATCAAACGGCCAGGATTAAGTACAGAAACCGTCTTTGCGTTGCAGTGCATAAAGGAAATATTTACAGAATTGTAGAAGTGACGGACACAACGGCCGACCGCGCGACCTTTGAAAAAGGAGGGGCCACGATTAGCGTAGCGCAGTACTTTAAAGATGTATACAACCAGAATGTTGATGGAAAACAGGTGGTGACAACAAAAGAAGCTCGCGGAGGTTCGAGACTATGTTACTTACCTGCCAACCTTTTGAGAGTCATTGCACAAGCCCCGCAGGTGAGGTCGTACGCGCCCACCCTGTGACATTGCTTGCGAGCTGTGCCAACGGACCTCAAAAGAGCACCGGAATACTGACACTGACACACACACACGCCGAAATCCCTGTGAGCAGTGGTGACGCGAAAATGTAAAGCTGACGCCTGCGGCGCGACTGTTTTAGGCGATAGGAAGCTGCCGACCTATTATGAGGCCTAAGAGCGCTCAGGAGACCCTAATCGAGTGCACGGAGCTAATGAACAGCATCCTCCGCATGCCGGCAGTGAGAGAACAAATGGCGGAGCTAAAGTTGCGCATTGGTGATGATAGCGGGCTCCCAGTGGACATCCAGGAGAATGTACGTTGCAGCGCATGCCCTGCCACGTGATTGGCAACCAATAGGGAGTTTAAAGAAATTATTCTGGGTGATTGTGCGCAAGAAGCTGTATTCGACACTTGAACATGTGTACTTTTGAGTAATACGCAGATAACGAGTCTAAAAAGGCTCATAGAAAACTCTCCATCCTTTGGGGAGCCCAGGATCTCGTGGGGCGCCAAAGAAAAAGAACATCAACAAGACACATACGTAGACCTATCCCCAGATTTCCGTGCCCGGCTTTGCAACAACCTCGTACGAAATTTCTGGAAGTGCCGACGAGACATCAGTCCCACTAGATGCAGGATGAGGGGTATAACCACATGCCCACATGCACCAGCTACTCCTTGCAGGTTTCGATGGCTCCTCCACAGTGCAAAGCTAAATATTTATGTGAAATTTCTTTTGTCCTTCTCCTCAGGTTCTACGTCACAAAGTTCCCTTGAGTGGTCGCTGGATGCTGGTTGTCTGCACTGGGCGCAGGGAACACGGTAGTTCTAGAGCAGTAGAAACTATCAATAATACAATCGAACTCACACGCCAGAGGTGACTACCCTTTAATGAAGAAGATAACTGAAACTGTTCGCACTCCACTAAAAGTACCCTTAATTGCGAGACAAGCTGGGGACTGTGCGTGGTTCACCAAACAGCCATTTCGCGTGCAGCCGAACCCGAGAGCATCAAAAAGTGAACATTTTGCGTGATTTATTTCCTGGATGTGATGCTCTGCGTAGCTGCAGCGCAATCGTCCGGCACCAAGCCTGGTGCATCCCAGGATAGATAATGAATAACAAAAACGGTGCACAGATTAAAATGTGTTGGGCGTTTAGAATTCGCTACAAGAATCAACTGGTGGTTGACATGGAAGCTCCTGCCTGCTGCGAGCACTTTGTCAGAAGCGAGCAAGACTGGAAGAAAGGAAGGGTAGAACGGACAAAGAGAAGTTTGCGAGAACTTTTTAGTGAAAACAGGCAGTATCTCCGGGGGGCCATTGTGTTGCTTGCATATGACTCAGATGAGGTCAACAACAGAGTGCGAGTGGCTGCAAAACAAGTACGCGCCCCGAAAGGCCTTGCGGCACATTAGGTTTGTCTATCATCTCACAATACACGTAAGGTGCCCGTGCTACGTAACGAAAACAGGGCTACCTCTGGTATCTTGCTGGCCCCCTTGTGCGAATGTGCAGGTGTCACTTCAGTTAGACTTTCCTATACAATGCTGCAAGCTGCAGACTCTTCAGAGTTTTAAGAATAGACCTGACGATAAGTCGATGAATATGTGGTGGAACGTATACCTACAGTTCCAGACGAAGATCACTGATGATTCAAATCATGCTGGAGTGCCTTGGGCTGCCGACCAGCTGCTAGCTCCGCTAAGTGAGGGAATCAAGAAGGTGAGTGTAGCTGCGTCATGTGCATGTGGTAAAATTACCCTTCTTCCTTGCATTCTGCAATTAGTCAGGTGAAGAACCGTGCTGAGTGGTTACCTGAGGAGCGTATGTGTGTATAGTTTCAGGTTTCTGAAGTAGTAAGGGTGATCGGCATTGCAGTCAATTCATTCGGGTATGTATGGCATCGGCGCATATTTAGACCTTCAGCACATCATACTTAAGCTAGGCTTCGAAGGTAACCCAGTGCCAGGCACTGAATTGCCTATCATTTCAGTGCATCTGAAGGCTGCACCAATGCATCTCTCTCCAGGCTGCTAGCCTTTACTCCGGAAAGTGCCTTTCGCTGCGAACGTTTCGTGTCTTCAGGCCACCGAACGCACGCTGCGGGGTTGTTGGCATTGTCGGCGGAACAAACATCGAACATACTCAGTTTGTCAGCCACATTGGAGCGTCTTCGCCGCATAACTACCGTGCTGGAGTCATAAGGGACATGGCTAGGCATTTTAAACTTTTCTGGGAAAAACTGAACCTTAGGTTCGGCGATGGAAAGATTAGGCGTGCACCGGTTCATCTCCTTATATATAGATCGTCTCCCAGCGGCATTTCTCAGATAAGGGACGTTCTGGCCCACGAAGTAGGAGCAATCAGAAGAGTTGTTGATGCTGACCTAGGGAAAATCGAATTTTCTCCAGAAACGTGTGAACTGACTGTAGAACATGCAATGGCAGCCGCATTCCCGGATGCAGAGTTTGCAGTGACTGTGTCGGTGTGTTCGGGTTCTGCCATGCGGAGGTTTGCTGGCAAAGCGGAAGCACTGGGACAATATGCATTGCCGGAAGCTCAAACTCTGAGCTGTCCAAGAGCAATTCCCGATTCAGAAGGCCGATACATCCTTCGGTTTAAGCTTCCGGAGGATATGGTGCCTCTCTACAGACCTTTAGGTTTCATAGTCGGCATCGTTACCTTCCCTGAACCACAAAAGTTCCAGGTATACACTCAACTCCAAGTGTTTGTACTATGTGGTGACTATTATGGAACCGGTAGATTGCTGCTCATGCCACCTTCTGCTTTTGAAGAGGCATCAACATAAGCGCAAGCGCGACAGCTTTTTCTCAAATTCCTTCTTTCTTTTTGATAGCAGAGCTGAACCTGAAAGCCTTTCTTCTAATTTTGCCCTCCTCAGTTTGAGCGAAGAGAAGATGAGGAAGGAATCACACTACCGGAGGACCATCCTATTCTGGTATACGCTAGGGCGAATTCCAGGTGGATGATCAAGACGACGTTATTGTTTTCAGCATCGGCTGATGGCTCCAACGGTCAGCTTGAGAAATTCATCGAACGCAGTCTCTCCAAATATGTGACGCACAAACATGCGCGTTTTCCAAGCAGCCACAGTGAATGAAAGTGAGGAATGCACGTGGAAGAAGAGGCAGCACCAAGCGCTGGCACCAGCTTCCAGTTACGACTGTAATGCAGAATTCGGAGCATCTATTGTCTCTGTGGATGGAGAGGTTGCTGCGGAAGTCAAAATCGTCGGTAGCGGGCTAAATCCCGGAGACATCATCTACTTAAAGAAAGCCACAGTGCATCAGATTTTTCAGGTACATTTGCTTGTAGTTGCAGTGCAAGCTCTACAAATAAAAGAGCAAATGCTGCATTTCCGTACCCGTATAAGCATCACACTGAAGTTTTCTAATCCTTCCCACGGTTTGCAGGGGTAACCGCCATAGCTCTAGATTCCCCTGTGCAGTCTGCGGAATGTGTCAGCGCGTTTTCATTAATGTTTTGGTAAACCCGCATCGCCCCGCCAACCCAATCAAGTTCTTCATGAAGGGAAGAGAAGGGGTTCAAGGGCTCCCAGTCGGTTCATACATTGATAGGTTAGCCTCTCTCCAGCGTAGCCTTGATCAGGGGACTACTGCATTGCCAGCATCTCTGCTATGCACGAAGGACTGCTCGAGAAGTGCACCACACTTTATGCCCTTGTTCTCCGTTGCTGCTGTGGTGCAGTGGACCTATCACCCCGGTGCTTCCAAATACGGAAACCCTCGAAGAGAAGTTCCTCATTGGGACAGCTGATCCAACCCGAGGGTCTCCTTCTGCTTCCGAATTTCATATTGTGCAAAGTAAGGATAAACTCTGTTTTCCCGCAGCTGACGTCGACAGGAGCCTGGAGAATCAAGAAGAACGATGCCTGGCAACTGCTAGAAGGGCTTACTGGTAGCCAAACTTTTACTGTGTGAGGCCAAGTGGGGTGCTTGGCTTCCTTTCTGTGGGCTTTCAGACGAAAGTGATTGGTCAAAACAATACCTTGCTGTTCTTTCGTACAAGATGTGCCACATGTACTACAACTGGGCTGGTAAGAAGTTGGCGCAAGCAGTATTCCTGCCAAACAATAAGGCGAAAACACCCAAAGATGAATGCTAAGATGATTTACTAGCATCCTAAACTGCAACTCATGCTGCTATTATCTTGCAATGCGTTGCTTCTCTGAAAGTAATGGCTTAAATTTTCGTCGATCCTGCCCACTTTTGTGCGTAAGGGACTGTCAAACACCCACACCTTCTTCAGATGGCTTTGGCAATCGTACGCCAGCATCAAATTTACGTAGCTTCGGAAAGTGGATTCGGTCTTGAGTCAGAATTTGCGCTTGAAGAAAAGTTGGAAGCGAAACCAGTCGCAGATGCGTCGGAGTCTCCAGAAGAAGGCGAAGAGCAGCAACTCCGGCAGCGTGTACAGAGGCGGAAGCAGGAAGTGGGTTATGCTGCTGTGGGGCTTCATCATGCACACAGAGAGGCACTAGAAGCTGAAGAACGAGATGCAGGCCTTGAAAATCTGAAGGAGCTCAAAGCGAATCTGGAGAACAAGCAGAGTCGCCTCATGACCACGGCATTTATGCTCTAGCAACGCAGAGCTGCACGCCCGCCAATTTACCCGTTAAACAGCAAGAGTTTCAGCCGCTTGCGTGCTTTTTTGGAGATGGGAGACCTGCGAGCATGCTATATACTAGATGCAATCACATGGAGTTCATAATACACTGCAGCTTTTTCACTTGTTAACCCCATGATTGAGTTCTAGGTAACCCTTTCTTTCTGTATAAAACGCCGGATTGCTGCGCGTTTTCTACAATGTACACATAGTCTCAGGCCTGCGAGGGCATGGTGAGCCCAGTTTTAGTTCTTCTTCAAGAGCACAAGCAGTCATTGCCGCTACTTCGTCACGGCCGTCTAACTCGACGAAGGCCCACGCGATGTCTAGATGAACCAAACGATGCGTTAAACAATCTAAACAGCCATTTTTAGAACACTGGCCCAAGAGATGTTTCTAAAAAATTGATGTGTGAAGCACTTGCGTGGAAACGTCGGTCTTGCACGCATTCTGTTGTAGCATAATGGAGCCTCCATGTGTAGTTGCGGAAGTCTAATGCAAGTCTTCTCAAATATCATAGTGAATTTAAACTATGGACCAGCAAATGGCAACGATTCACCGGTTTGACACGAACACACGCAAGCCCAACCCTGTGGCTTACGATGGCTGCCATGTTCCAGAATGCCACCCAATTCTGATCCAGCCCAACGTTTAGAATGTTTTTTACGAATAAAGATAGCTTTTGATGTATGCTTGAGGCGCGTAGTCTGAACTGTGTGGCGTGAAACGGCTGTCTAAATTCTCGCAAAAGCGCAGTGCTTCTATGTTTGCCAACGGCATTTAGGGCTCTATTCCTCTAAAGTAACTTTCCAGAGCAATTTCGGGTGATGACGCAATGCGAAATTTGTGATAGCCTATCTCTTTTTACTGGCTTGTCTTCCTACCTTTCGCGAAGGCTGGAAGGCGCGCAGCTTCTGTGTCATCGGGCTTTGAAGTCGTCTGCATAGGTTTGGGCCAGCCATGCAAAACTAACAAGTACTGGGCTTCATTTAGAAGCAATATTGAGAGAGTAATTCTAAAGCTCGCATTTTTGAGGAATATTAAGGTACAGCTTTCTTCCGCTTGTCTTTTTGGGAACAAGGTCTGCAGCACCTTCGAAGCGTCGGCGGCGGTCCAGTCCGTGTGGGGCCCAACGCATGCAAGAGTATTATTCTTCAGTGCTCTTTTTAGCTCCTAATCTTTCCAATGTTAATCATTCGCCGAGACATTAAAAAAATAGCATACTTTAGAAGTCCCTAAAGTATGTTTCGTGGCACTTGATCGACACTCCGCAGCCTCCCCACGCCACCTGTTCCTCTGAAGTCATCGTTGCGTGAGCTTTGGCCGTCTTTCTGAATACCTTCGCTTCTTTATGTGAATTACATTGTAGCCAGCGCTAACCGCGGAGTCCGCTGCAGGCTCGAGGAGTGGCGAAGTACACCGACCTCTCCAATGCTCCATAAGCATCGGCAGAGATCGGTGAAATCGCCTTTCCTTTGCATTTCACGCCCGTCAGACTTTTTTTCTGCACATAAATCCAAAATTGGCACCAACAGCACCCGAAAATGCATCAGCGGCACCAGGAGGCGGAGCCAATTTTCAGGGAAGCTGCTGCGGCGGTCCTGGCGCAGTGGTGAGCACGTGTAGTGCCTGGCCTTTACGTTAATCACTGCTAAATACACAATCTGCAACTTAAGATATGACGTGTCCCAAGATACAATGCTTCAAATGCCCAACTGAAACGGCCTCTGTCTCCTTACTGTTGCCGTTCGGGCTGCAGGACACTCCTCAACTTAGCCGTTGAGCAAGGATGGGGTGGAAGGGATTCACATCGAAAGCGGCAGAAGCTGTATGAAGACCTCATTGCTGAGTTTCGCGAGAGTGAGATATCACAAAACCCGACTTCTCATGCTCGCGCCGTAATGCTCTGCTGCTCGCAGCAGCCGAAGCTGCAGTTGCGTAGGGACTATGGGACTGTAGCTGAGCTGGAGTTGTGCAGACAAAAACGTTGACGTGGAGGACTTGGCATGCACGCTTTCAGAGAGGCTCGCAAGCGATTTTTCGGTCTCAGTTGAAGACGACAGCGACGTGAGGGACTCAGAAGAGTAGTTCACAGTTACCCAATGTTAAACCTTCGCTTCAAAGATCGAGTTGTAAGGGCCAGAACCACACAGAAGACGAAATTATTTTTGTTGGATACACTACTAGCCTGCAGACGGCCGTGCTGTTGCCACTGTGTTCGCGTCCTCTGCTCAGTTGGAGGTGGCTCAGCTGTTGGTAGATTTGCATGAGCAGATCAGCCGGGGTTGCTTCGACTTAGCTTCCGTAGTGAAACAGCAGCAGAGTCAGCGCGCGACTTCAAGCGCAAAATCTCAGTGTGGGAATGCTCGTGAAGCTGAAGGTGAGGGGGCCAGCACCTACACGCAGCACCAGCTGGTGCTGCATGCATGCCTATTTCTGCCGCTTCAGTCATACAATTTGCATGCTATCCAAACAAGCAACAGTGCCTGTGCTCGCCGGGCGGAACAGCACTTCGTTCACAGTAGCTTAGATTCTTACATCTAGCACTTCTCCGGGCAGCTTCACGGGAATGTGGTGCTGCCGACGCGGGTGCTGCTGCTATACCAGTTGGTTCTTGCATCTGTCTACAGGTGCGTGATTCTTTTTCTGCTGCTGGTGTTGATTTCTTCAGCTGACTGTAGTATGAGTGAGGGCAGTGACGCTGAAGGGGAGATAGAAGACCTCATGTCATCTGTGGAGATCGCTCCGAGCCCAAACGAAGGCATCGGTACGCATTTTTTTTTGAAGTGCTGAGAGCCTCGGTTCAGGATTCTAGGATCTAGGAATGCAACTATTTTTATTGCTTTGTGGTGGCTGACACGAAGCAGTGATGTCCGACATGAAAACGGTGTGAAGTTTCGTGCGTTTGCGGTATTCGCTCTCAGCTTCAACACGCTCCCGTCAAACAGCAGGAGCAACAAATGAGCTACAGCCAGAAGAACACCATTCGGGAGCGGATGGATGGACAACTGTACAGGCAGGGGGACGCAGGAAACCTCGCTAAAGTCGTTTTCGCATCACCTTTTGTTCCGGGGTTCACTGCAGCACTTTTAGAAGCCGTTGCAGTGTATGCAGCATGAAAGCGACGTTACGACAGGTGTAGCGTGAATCCCCGATTCTTGCTGCTTGGCGTGCCGCAGCATAATAAAAGCCGACTTTTAGTAGCTGTGTGGCTACCAATGGTTTGGCAGTGCCCTTGAGGGCATGCCTAATTTCGTCTTTCGTCACTTATGCATGCTTCTCGAGCTACGGTTTGGGGCTTAGTTCGCCAACACTGTAAAGGTTGAGAAAGGGGCAAACTCAAGTATAGGAAGGCACCAGAAGCATTACTAGACTGGTGTTTACGTCGAGAGTTTATTTTTCATAGTGTTTAGCAAGTAACGCTCATTATTCAGAAGAACAGTGCCCGAAGTACATCTGCGGCGTCCCCAGGATCCAGGAAGAAGCTTCGCTGCTCGCCGGCCCAGCAACCAAGTTCTGTGGCTGTGGCAACGATCTGAAAGGACAGAGTAAAGCACAGTAACGCACAAAAAGTGAAGCGACTCAGTGAAGCACCCACAAGCAAGTAGTGCAGTAGAGAAAGAGGAAACAAAATAATGATAGACGGAGACTGAGAGACAGGCAAAAGCAGGAAGGGACAGAGATTCGGACAGCAGGAGGCAGAGAAAAAGATTTCGAGGTGTTGTGTCGGAAGAAAGGCAACTGCGCAGATGTTCAACGGACTTGAGTGACTCTCAACGCAGCATATATTTGGGGAAATAATGCTACTGAGCAACAATCAAGTCGACAGGCATCCCAAAGAGTTATGTTTAGCACGCATTATACAGTGCAGTCTTTTATACAAGTCAGAGTGGAAGAAGTGCCACTACTGGGCTTACTACACACTCAAAAACTACTGCGAAAATTTTGAAGCAGCCTAAGCCAGCGTGGTTGTTCGGACGCTTCGCTGTTTGTACCTGTGCAGGCTGGGGACGTGAAGCAGCTGTTGCTGCTGCGGAGTCGGTTGGGGAGTAAAGTAGTTGAACCCAGGCCTCAGACGCCTCCCAGTGCGCCTCACGCAGAGATTTCCACAACGAGTGCATGCGGTTTTCATACCTACAAGAGTAGCCGCAGCAACACCACCAGCACCAATGAGTAACCGCAGCAACACCGCCAGCACCAATGACTTGGCGTGTAGCGAGGAGTACCGGTGCAGGTAGTGGTGGGAAGCAGGGGAGCAACAAAAGTGGCACGGCATTTCCTGTTAGTGTCGTATGCAGTCTAGTAGTCCCTACTCTTTATCTTCTGTAGTTTCGTTCTGTTCCTCTGCTTTCTTGCAAGGACTCAAGAATGCTTTCAGCTTGGTTTCAGTTGCTTGCAGACGAACGGGAATGGTCTCCCCGCGTGACACCTGCAGGACAAAAGCACCCGTAACAACTTCAGCACCCATAGCTTCTCCGACTGCAATTTATGCGGCATCCTTAATAGCAGCACATGGCGCAGCTCCCGAAACTGCTGATTAGAGCTCAACAAAAGTCAGGCCCACGGTACTGTGGCAGGCGGCTCAACACACCTGGACAGCAGGGCTATTTAACCATTTGCGTAGTATGCACGCGCATACTTAAATTATGTGGACAGAAGAAGGGGGCTTTGGTATTTTGCCGTTTAGTGATTCACTTAAACTGGTGCACTTATGCCTGGGGAGAGCAGCACTAGAGAGAACACGAGAAACGGCAACAGCAGGTGCAGAAGCAAAAACGTGTTCCCCCATAATTCCCCCCTCTTGGGCCGGCTCTAAAAACCCACTGGCTGGGGAGGGAAGTAGACCATTGCCTGCTTCCAGGCTTGTGTGTAATGCACATTGGCTCTACTGCCAGCAGTTGCATCACCAATCACTGCTCCTCCAGGCTCCTGCTGCTGCTGCTGCTCCAGTATCTTCCTCACGGAAAGGGGCTGGGTGGACACCGTGTATTTTCCCATGTCAAACTCAAACCATATCCCGAGGGCATTGATAATGCCGCTGCGCTGGGCTTTGAAAGTGACGAGATCATCGGCTTTTCGGCAGCCTCTATTATTGAAGCTTGCCAGTGTCTCCGGACCTGCAGCAGTACCAACAGCTTCTTGTCCGTTTTACTGCATTACAAGATCGCAACATTTTTTCAGAACATGCAACAGCACAAGGGCTGTGCCCTGGGTGAGTCTGAATCGCAGTAGCAGGCAGCAGCACAGGAGCTTTACAGCAACAGCGGCAAAAAATCAAAAATCAACCATATCGGTATTACCCAGTGCAGTCTCATACGAAGCTGCGCATGCTCTTGAGCAGATGCAGAAGTTGCATAACAAATAAAATCAAGTAAGACACTCGCCTAAAGCAAAGTCACACGATTATGGCATGTGCTTACTACAGTTTGCACTCCAAATATTTACAGGGTCGCTTAATAGCAAAAAGTCTTCCTCATCAAGGGACACCTCATAGTAAGTTCCTTCCTCAGCTGTTGCAGCAGCAGCTGCAGCATGCCACACTTTCGCCGCCGCTGTTTCCACTGCAGCGTTATCTCCTTCAGGCTGCACGCCAAGTTGCAGCAGCGTGGCCATTACCCGCACTCCCGACAGAAGCATGTTGGAGTCCTTTCTCCTGAGAAGGGCCTAAACCAAGCCAAATGCAGCAAGAGCCGGCACACCTGGAACAGCAGCAGAAGCACTGCAAGACTCTGGGTGCCCTGGGCACCTGTGTTGATTTGTTCACACTGTGCAGCTGCTTCTACGTGGTGGACTGGCTGCCTCGCAGCTGTATGCCAGCAAGAGTGATTTGAGGCATATATAGCCTTTCCTGGCTCATGTGTCTGCATGTATCTTTTCTGCCAGTTCAGTTTCTATTAAAATTGTCTCTTTTCTGCGTGGTCGTGAGTCCGCAAGTTACTCTAAGGTGGATGTAACGCATGTGTTCTTTCTGCACCATTTTCTCATATTTCACGCGCAGACGTCGACTTACCCGCGAGACGTATTTAGAAAGAGCGTAAATTCCTCCTCCAACTCCAGCGTTATCAAGACCAAGGGAGGCAAGCAATGTCACAGGATACTCAAGCCTAGACAGAGCCCCTGGAGTGCTGCCAATATGATCTTGCTGCTGCAGCGCCACCTGCAGCTGCTGCTTAATATCCTCTCCCGGCTTCATCCGGTGCGCCTCTGCAATGGCAAGAAGAGCGGTACTATCTTCGGCATCTGTAGCAGCAGCAGCAACAGCAACAGTTGAACACCACGCCGAATCTTGCTGAGCAGCATTATGAATGCACATGATCTGATCGCTTGATCGCAAGCCTCGGTTTGGCTCTTCCATTATTATGTTCCCCTCGTGGCCCGTGTTTGACTTCAGGCGGAAAAGCATTAAGCCCCTTGTACCTTCTGGTGGAAGCAAAGAGAAGATGCTCGTCTGTATCACCTTTGTCGTGTCCTTTAGTTTCGCTCTGTGCTGCAGTGAAGCCCCAGTGGCCTTGGATTCTTTTGGAGGAACTTCGACGCTTTGCGTTTGCTGCTTCTGGACCGTTGCTGAGGCCGTTTTGATACTTTCTGAGAGCTCTTTGACAGGGCGCCAGCCACCTCCGGCTGGCTGCGTGTATTTTTGTCTGGAGTGGTTGAACGTATTCTGCGCCACACGCATTGGACAAATCCACACTGACAGCCAGTACGCCTTGCATTGAGCAAGTATGAGCCCACAAAAGAAGGACATAAAGCCAGAATAGTTTAGGACACAAAGAAGTGCAGAACAAAAGTGATGAATGCACCATCATTGGGAGTTCGAGCTACAGGCTGGCAGGGCGACAGTCTAACGAATTGTGTCAAGATAGATGGCCTAGGCTCAAGCCCAAATAGCTCTGCAATGTAGAACACACCTCGGCGTTCACAGCCAGCAGCTTTTGGGTTATTGCATATGCCCCACTAAGCGGTTCCGCTGCAAGCATTCTTATAGGCATTAATGCCCCACAGTCTCGCACATCCCGCATCTCCGCGGAGCTTTGAAATGCATAAACTGCTGCCTCGAGCGAAAGCAGGGGCAGAAGCACGCAGCAACCGCCGCACAAGATCGAAATCGGAAGTGACGCGCGCACAGCCTTTGCCAGTTGTTGCTGAGGCCCTTCAGGCGAGCCCCCATGGGGACCACAGTTGCTTGCCTTGACCCTCTGCAGGAGCAGTTTTCTCTTTACTGATTTTTCAAAGCTTGATATCTGGCCTTTCACTTGCTGCAGAAGTGTTTCTTGTAGCACTGCACTCAAAACATTGAATCCAGAATCTAGAGCAAGTGTTATTCAGGCTCAAAGCCCTTTTGGGTTCACGAGAGACAGAAATGTCTATCCACGCAGCGTTAAAAGGTAGAGGACAGAAGCAGATGATAGTGGGGCAATGCCAAATGCGGATGTTCGCTATGACTACACACGGCCACGACCTGAAGCCGCGATGACAAACGAAAACATGCAGAATGAGCTCCTGCCTATTTTGTGTCTTGTCTGAAAGTACTTACAGCGAGTCAAAACGGGGTCTCGTGCGATGTCCAGCTGATAGGATAGGACTGCTGCTCGCTGCTCAGACGCCGGGGAAGGTCGGTTGGCCGGAATGGCTATGGATCTCTCGGGATCACCTGGGACCTCCAGAATTCTGTGTCGCATTGACACGCTCGAGGAAAGCAAGACTATTCCATTGAGGGGCCTAGGGCTGGCAGGTTGAGAACTGCAGCTCAGAATCACCGTTTGGCGGTGAGCTCTTAGGTTTCAGCAATTGTCGCTGCAGTGTGAAAACAGCACCTGAGGGAGAGCTTTGTCGGTGTGTGCGCCACCTGCACCGTGAGGCCCTCATTTGCTCCCACCCATACTGTGGGGACCCAGACCAGGCCCTGCTTCACGTGCCGAATTCCATAGTGCCTTCCCTCAGCTGCTGATGCTGCGTTGAAGCTGCTGTGCTGTCCTGCCTCGTGGGGAGCTGTGGACAAAAAGAGTTTCTCGGGTGAGTGGCGGTCATCACACCCAGACATTTCCTCTGTTGGCTCTACTTGCCTCTCGAAAAACTCCATCCAAACAGCGAATGCATTCACAATGCCAGGGTGAGAGTTGCTCTCAAGAAAGACCTTCGTCGATTGCTGCAACGGCAAGTCCTGGCAGCAATAGCAGCAGATTCACCCAGAGATTCAAATTCGCTCCTTCGCACATAACGTGCCCGTGTGGAGGAACGTTTCAAAACAGGCACTACTGAGAACCGGCACCACCAGCAACGGCAGCAGAAACAGCAACACGAAAACTACAAAATAGCCTTCGGCTGTCACCTTATCCAGGTCCTCCAAAGGACCGTCAAAACGAAGTGAAAGCACCGCCTTGGCTTTTGTCCGCGGTGTACAAATATCTCCGTAAGAATATGCGGACGAAGCGTCACTGCCCGTTTCTGCTGGTGCGGTTGCCCTGTCAGCCTCTTTTGCCTCACTTGGACACAGCTGCAAAGCAACAGGCTCCACGTGGGCCGTCCACCGTGATGCGGCTTCAAGAGGAGACAAGTCGAATTGATTTGCCTGGCCGGCTGTTGCCTCTTCTTGGCCCTTCCCTTTTACTACGTCAGGAAGAGCGCTGAGAGGCTTGATCGCTGGTAGCCGAACTTCGAAAGCTTGGATCCAAATTTTAATGCTTCAGAGAAAACACGCAGACTGTAAATCTTAGGTCTTAAGCTCTGAAGAGTGTAGCTTTGGCGTCAAGCTTCAGAAGACTGGGGAGATCGTAGGTTCTCGATTCTGCATAGTTTTCCATGAACTTCTGAACCAGAACTATGTGGCGTAGACGAACAATTCCGATCCGTAAGCATCATCTCTACCTTAGAAGAAACAATACCGGGATAGAATCCAATTGAAGCATCCAGCAGCTAAGGAATGTGAGGTGGTGTGCTTATAGTGAACACCCAGGAGCGCCCTTACCTGGACGGAACTACCAGCGGCTTAGGGATGCAAAGCGTACGGGCATGGCGCGCCAGAGGTATCAGCTGCCTCCCTAGAACACCGACCTCAAACAGCAGTGGGTCCATGACAAGACAGTCAAAGGGCTGCTGTACTAACAACGGCATTTGCTTCCTGCTATTATTGCTGCTGCTGCTGTAGCTGTGCTGTTGCTTCTCTGCAGTTGCGGCAGCAGAATCTGCAGTTTCTGTCAGCTCGCTGCATGTCGCAGTTTCCGCTGGCCCCTGCAGCTGCTGTTGCCGCCCCTCTTGCTGTTGTTGCTGCAGCTGCTCTTGTTCCATCTCTTGCTGTTGCCGCTGCTGCAGCTGCACAAGGTACGGGCTCAAAGGCAAGAAGCGTATGGCCTCTGATGCCTTTCTAGCTCTTAACAATGAGGCATATGTCGCCACTGCAGCACTCACATCACCACCGAAACCTATAATGTTTAGCCCCAAGCAATATACCCAAGTCCTAAGACGTGAAAGAAAACCTAGTGCCCCAGAAAAAAAAATTCGGGATTAAGATGTGTGAAAGGTATTGTGTATTCAGGTGTAGACAGTTTTTTCCTATTGGCAGAAAGCGGGCTCAAAATGCAGGGCTTACTCAGAGCAGGAGAGGAATACAGAGGAACTGCTGTTAAGCTTAGTGGGGGATGCGCTTCTTCGCTTCGTTGCTGCTCCTCAGCATTAAGCTGAGCAACTTCAAGCAAAGTCACGCAGTCACCCACGCCCAAAAACAGACAGTGCTCCTTCTGCCGCTTCTGTTCTAGGTGGACATGATGGTGCCCCTTGGAGACGGTGTCTTGATGGTCAACGCTGAGCCCGTTGCTTTTTTTGCAGGAAGAGCTAGTGGAGCAGCTGCTGTCGCTACTCCTATTCGTGCTTTTCGTGCTATTGGCTCCACGGCGCAGCGTGTGCCTGATTGCTCTCATCACACTAGACCGAAAAGCCTTGGACAGTGGACAATTCGCAGACTTGCGACATCGCTGGCTTTCACGGAGGTCTGTCCCCATCTGCAGCAGCATATGAATAGCAACAGAGACAATCGTACAGCTGGGCCACGAACAGCAATTACATCACCCATCAATCAGCGAAGTAGTCACTTGAAGAACTTTCGCTGAAGATGAAAGTCAATCTTTTTGAAAAAGTTGATTTTCCACGCTGGAAGGAGCTTCAAAATATTCTGAGCAAGGACCACTCTCTGACAAGCTAGCAGCAAATTGATAGAGAATATGAGAAGGAAATAAAAAACGGCAGGTGGAGGTGGAAATAAAGGCGCACGGAAGAACAAAGAAGAATCCACGGGGAGAATCCATGGAACCACATGCAAACAGAGGGTTGAAGAAGCCTGTTAGACACTCCAGAAGTAATTAGTCAGATAAACGGAAAAAACTGCCAGAAAGAAAAACTTTCCTGGAGGTACTTGGAAAAAGCCACGCCAGCTTGGGCAGCTAGTCGCTGCTGCTTCTTCTCAGGAGACCCAGGTGCAGCACGCAGTTGTTCATATACAACGGAAAAGTCCTGCGATGGCTCAGCAGCGTTTTTTGCGGGGTCAAAATGTAAAAGCTTTGATAAATTGCTGGTTCGCTTACTCACAGACCCAGCACCATTTCCTGCAGCATAAACAGCTGTTTAAATGCTTGCCTTTTACTATAGTAACGGCACCAATGATTGCTTCCTGCATTGCCGCCGCTGTTTCGGGAAACAGCCTTTATGAAGTTGCACAAATGCATTTTTTTAGTTCCTAGAATACCCTTGCTATCTCCACGCTCAGCTCTACAACTACTGTCAAGCTGGAGCGCAAAGCTCATTACAGCAGTTTCATAATCGCAGCAGCAGCGACAATAGCGGCAAAGCATGCCGCAACGGCAACGATAACGAGGAAGCTACACCTGTCAGTAGGGCCTCTATCTGGTGGCGCTGTTCCTCTGAAACTTCTGGGGAAAACTCGAGGACATTGCCGCCGATCCCACCAACTGCTGCAGAAGCTGCCGCCTCCCTGCGTGCATATGCGCTGCAGTAGCAAGTCCCGCTACAGCAAAGGCTACAAGCAGCAATACCAATGGCGCCACGAGCAATAGTCAGGCAAAAGGCCCGAGGCAGTTACATTAGAGGCAGCAGCAGCAGACCAACAGGAAAACCAAGAGCAACAGCAACTACACAAACACGAACAGGCAATGGCTGCGCTAGGAGAAGCAAACGATGCAGAATTTGTGGAAAGGAAGACAACGGCAGTGAGGAAGGTATTCACTGACAGTGCCTCATCATCATCTCCCAGGTCCACATCCTGGAATCTGCTGTAGTCTACACTAAAACGCATGCATCTCCTCTGTCGCTGCAGCTGCTCTTTGCTTTTTTCTGCCCAGCTCGCCAGTTCTTCGTCTCCGGACTGCAGCCGCTGTGCATGCATAAATGTCTTGAGGGCACCTTCGAAGTCTTCCTTGCCATATAGGGCCTTCCCTGCTCTATACCAGCCCTGTGGAGGACTCACACAGCGAAGATACCTCACCCATGCTTTTCATTCCACGACGTAGAAATAAAGTCACAGAAATGAATACAATTCAAATCGGAAAAGGCGAGACGGATTCTGGGAAGAAGAGTTTCAGCTGCCCCGTGATCCTTCAGTAAAAACCCCTAAGTGCATGCAAGGATGCTCACAGCAACAGAACCAATGGACATAACACAAACTGCATTGGCTGAGGCTCAACGCCTGAAACAACATCAGCAGCAGAAAATGTTTCCTGCACCTTAGTCCACTTGGGATTGAGCTTAATGCAATCTCGGGCGGCACTGAGAGCCTCTTCGTAGTTGCTGAGAGCCGCATAACAGGCGCTGCAGTTGGAGTGGAGCTGCTGCAGTTGTTCGCGCCATGTGTTCTGCTGCTGCTGCGCGGTTTTGGCCTTTTCGGGAGAAGGCATGAGGTGTTTGAGTGCAACAATGGCGTCTCTGTAATGCTGCAGAGCTGATGAATAGTTGCCTGCCCTGAACCGCGCACACACAGCCAGTTGAAACCCCACTGCCTAAAGCAGCCAGGCAATTGTATCACTTTTTCAGGGACTTCATGATTTGTTGTTGATGCTGAGGGGTTCTGAGTCGCGATCGGGGCGCTGGGATCGAGCGACCGGGGATTTGGAATTGGGGTTTAGGTAATAAGCGTTAGTGGTTAAGACCTGAAAGCTTCATTTCCGAGTTCCCTTGTTCTCTGTAGGGCAAATTGGACTGGAGGAGAGTCCAAAGAACCCAAAATTTGCTGTGCTGTCTCGGCGTTGCCCTCGGCGAAGGCAGCCATGGCCTTCTGTGCTGCCTCCTCCATGTTATACTTCTGTCCTCCGCGTTAAGAAAATAGTACCAGAATGCACATAAATCGATTTCTTGATTCTGCTGCAGCCTTCGAAGCTACAACCACCGGAGCTGCGTTCTAAGACTTACGCTCCTGTCTCTGAAGGGGAACTGTAATGCGCGGGCACTACAATGATTCCCCTAGTGTGGCTATAGCGGCCTATTCCGTGGAGAGGACACGATATAATGTAATATTGCTACCAAATTATGAGATAAATTAGGCAAAATAAGGCCAACCGACCACGAAAGCCAACTTCCCATCAGGGTCTTCGGGCTGGCCAAGTCGCCGAGGCGCCGACCCACCTTAGGGGGTCAAGCCTGGGGGCCTGATCTTTATGGCCTCCTTTCCATGGATCAGAGGACTTTTGAGGCTACTTATGTGAAATTAAGGAGTTTTCGCTTGATTTATCGGGATACACCGAGCAGACAAGCAGTCAGGTCTATACCTAGTGGCAGCAGCGAGTCCACTAGTGCACTGCAGGGACCCGCTGCTCATAAGGAGACGGACCGCTAAAACTGATCGATTTGGACTGCATTGATAACTAAAATGCCACCAAAATAATGCTAAAGCCCTTTATGAGACTGTCTCGGCTCGAATTAGCGTGGAAGACAACGTGGCAACCGAACTCGAGCTCAAGCTTCACCGTGTGGCGAGGCCCCTGTAGTGTAGTGGGGGGCAAAGGGCAAACTTAATCATTCGCGTACGCATTCTTCTGCGTATTTTATTTTTCCTAGAAACAAGACTAAACAAGAAGCCTGCATACACAGCTTTTTATGTCATATCTCGCTTTTTTGCGAAGAATCGAAAAGGCGCCGTGCTCCAACCGCGCGCGGCTGGCTGGCCTTAGTAGGTGCCAGCCGCAGCCGACGGCTAGGTGGTCGGGCTCGCTCAGTCGCCAGCTGTTGCAGTTACACCACAAGATTTGTCCTTTTTAAAGTTTATAGTTTGGTGTTTTCTACTAGATTTCCTTTCAAGGAATTCCAGAATCTGAACCAAGAGAAGACTGGCCCCGCCTCTACCTCTAGTTACAGCAGCAGTGCACGTTACATCGCCCGAGCCGATGCTCTATGGCTGTTGTGAACACGCACAATCACCCACTCCTTCTCTGTATGTTGGTGTCCGAAAAGCTTTCTTTTTCTTTTGTGTGCTTTTTTTCCGCCGTTGAACATCGAAAACTGAACAGACAAACTCAAGTTGAAGCCCCCGCCCCGCGCTTACCGCCCACCGCGCAGCCAAAGTCGGTGGTTTGACGAGCGCCTGGTGGCAGCAGCAGCTGTCCACGGCCATAGTGAGTCCGAAGAAGTCCTTTTCATCTTTTTTTCCTTTTACTTGTGTTTATACAATATTACGCAGCCCGAGAAAGGGAGTCTCCACGCTGACACGAGGGCAAGCAGCACTGCAGCCGCCACGGTCGGCGGTAGCCATTTCCGCCAGCAGTAGTTTCCGCAACGCAGTTGTAGCAGGAACCTCCGCAAGCACATCTTGTCTATTACCCAGGCCCTGCTATTGTTTCATCTGCCTTCTGAAGTGGGCCTCTGAAAGTTCGCTGCTGACAATTTCCTGCTCCTCCTGCCAACCCTGCAGCCGCCCGGGTAGCCGCCGACCATCGTTTACGAGGCCTTCTGCCAAGTTTGCAAGCCAAAAGTCCCTCAAGTAGACTCTACTTGCAGTTTAATGGAAGCTGTTGCAAGTTCAAGGAAAGCAAGCTGGCTTCAAACCAACGGTGAACTCGTGACTAGCTTCACCGCACAGAGGCACTCAGAGCTGCCCTGCGGACCAGCAGCAACCAACGCGCAGCAGAAGGAATAGCAGCAGCAGCGGTGGCATTTTTGTGGAATTGAAAATGTCAGATTCCCACGAGCTGCCGTTTAACGGCCTCAGCTTCTTCCACAGCCAGTCTCCGTTCCTCTCAAGTGAGCAGCAACAGCAGCAGCAAGAGCAGCAGCAGCAGCAGCAGCAGCACTTTGACAGTCAGCGTGACATGCTCCTGAGCGAAAGCCCGTCTTTTTCATACTTAAGAACCCTCTCACAGAGGGCGTGGGACCAGCTGCAGCAGCCGAAGCCGCTGCAGACAGAGGAACGGCAGGAGAACACGCAGCAGCAGCAACTATCACAGCTGCTGCTGCAAGTGCCTAGGCAGCCCTTGCAGGGTCTCAGCATGCCTCTGATAGAGTCAGTGAGCTGCCGCCCCCCTCCTGAGCAAAACTGCCCCCGACCAGAGCCAGTGCAGCCGGAGCAGCAGCAGGAGCAGCAGCAGCTTTTTCAAGAGCAGCAGGCGGCGCAGCACCAGCAGCAAATGCTACAAGAGCAGGAGATACTGCAGAATATGCAGCAACAAAGCATGAGAGAGCAACGCATGCAGCAACAGCAGCTGCAGCAGCAGTGCCTCCAGAGACAGCAACAATCGCAACAGGCTTTGCAGCAACGGCAGCAGTTGCTGCAGCAAGCTGAGCTGCTGCAGCACCATCATGAAAATGGAGGCGCCATGTGCTCCTGCTGCTCTCCTTTCCAGCCTGTTCCGACTTCTGAGAGGTATCGATTGCAGCTGCAGCACAGACTGCAGGTGCAGCGTAGCTTGAAGGAACAGCTGCAGCAGCAGAACACAGAAGCAAAAACGTGGTTCGGCGCCAACAGCAGCAGCAGCAGCACAATGCACTGCGGAGACATATGGAGGCAAGGGCACTTCCACGAATCTGCTCCGCCAGTCGAGGTGCAAGAGAGCAAAGTGTCTCAGGTGCTGCAGCAGGTGGTTCTGCAGCAGCAGCCGCAGCAGCACCATCACCAGCAGCAGCAGCAGCAGCAGCGCCACCAAACGCCTAGGCATCAACAACAGCAGCAGCACCATGCTATGCCTCCAGGAAGCCCGATAACTCCTCAAGAGAGCATCCTTGCATTGTGGCGGGATTCGAACGCGGAGTGGAGCAGTCCTGTGCAAGAGCAGCAGCGGGAGCTTCAGCAGCAGCAGCAGCAGCAGCAGCAGCAGGCTGCAGGCCCACCTGCAGATGAAGACTTCGAGTGTGTCTGCGGGGCAGATGAAACTAAGGAGTGCATTTGTGTGCAGCTGCGAATACCCGAGAGGCAGCGCCACCTGCGGGCTCAAGAGGGAATGAGGGAGCAGCAAAACCGGCTAGAAGAGCAGCACCTCAGGGAACAGCGGGAGCAGCAGCAGCAGCAGCAGCAGCAGGAAAGGCTGCGCCAGCAGCTTGAGGGACTTCATTCAGATCTGTGCTCCTTCTTCGGCGCCCCGCTGCTTAAAGGACTCTGGCCAGCAAATGCTTCCCCCCCCGAAGCGGGGCCCCAAGCGCAGCAGCCCTGCCAGCGGAGGGAAATGGACGGAATGCAGCAGCAGCAGCAGCATCAGCAGGTGCAGCAGCAGCAGTGGGCTAGTGGAGGGATAGATCGATGCCGCTGGGCGCCTACAGCAGCTGCCTGCAACCTTTTGGAGTTGATCGAGGTCCCGCAGCGGTTTCGCGGAGCTCCTGCGCAACAGCCACTGCAGCCGCTGCAACAGCAACAGCAACAGCAGCAGCAGCAACAACAGCAACAGCAACAGCACGAGCAGCCAGTGCTGCGCCGAGAACGAGAAGAGAGAGTGGGGCATGAACAGGGAGATCAGACACTGGAGCACTTGTGGACGCACGCTCACCCAGTGCATCACAACCAGCAGCTGCAGCAGCAGCAGCAGCAGCAGCAGGCGGTGAGGCAACATCGGGCAGCTCCGCAGCAGCTCCTGCCCCCCAAAAGGGAGCAGGAGCCCCAATCTCAGGAGCAGCAACAGCAGCAAGTGCTGCCAGGATTTGCTGTTCCGCAGCAGCAGCTTATGCCAGCAATGGCGGCGTCGGCTCCTCCTGTTTTGCGGAGACAGCAGCAGCAGCAGCAGCAGCCGCCGCAACAGCAGCAGCCGCAAAGGCTCGAGCAGCAGCAGCCACCAGCTCGGCAGCGGCGGCGGGAGCTCCCGCCACACTGGCTGCCGCAGCACCCCCATTGGCTGCCAGCCTACAAGCCGCAAGTCCCGTGGCCTCTAGAATATAATTATGATGAGGACGGGGAGGAAGAATACCAAGAGGAACAGCAGCAGCAGCAGCAGCAGCAGCAGCAGCAGCAACCGCAGCGGCAGCAGCAGCAGCAGGACGACATGCACTGGCACGAGCTGGTCGAGCAGTTCATGCTGCGAGAGCTGGCGCAAGGTGAGCCCGCCGATCAGCGGCAGGGCCAACAGCCGTTGCAGCAGCAAATACAGATGCACCAGCAGCAGCAGCAGCAACAGATGCAGCAGCAACAGATGCAGCAGCAGCACATGCAGCAGCAGCAGATGCAACAGCAGCAGCAGCATATGCAGCAACAGCAGCTGCAGCTGCAGCAGGAAGCATTCCGCCAACTGCAAAGGCCTGAGCAAGGCCGAGAAGATGCATCTCCTCCAGGAAGCCGCTTTCCCGAATTTATTGCTGACAAAGCCAGAGTCTGCGGGCCCTTCACCGCGTGTCTTGCTGCACCTCAACAGCCTCACCTGCAGCAGCAGCAGCAGCAGCTGCTGCTGCAAGGCCACCAAAGCGAGGAAGCTCCGCCGCAGCACCCGTCGAGTCAAGCAACGATTGCAGTTTCTAGGGATTCTCAGAGCAGCACCGACCAGGGACAGCAGCAGCTGCACGAGCAGATGCAGCAGGTGCTGCAGCAGCAAGAGGCGCAGCAGAAGCAGCGGCAGCTGCAGCGGAAACTGTGCATGCGGCTGCAGCGGCAGCAGCAGTATCGGCTGAAGATTCTGCTAGATGCATGCATACGCCTCAGAGCCACAAGCCAGCAAAGAGGACTCTGCCGCAGCTGCTGCCTCAAAAGAGTGAGTCTTTTGGGGCTGGTGCAGCAGCTGTGTACTTACTACAAGGTGCAGCGGCGCCTGGTGGCTGGCTGCCTCACCGAGGAGGCAGCAGCAGCACCAGCAGCAGCAGCAGCACCAGCAGCAGCAGCAGCTGGGCCAGGACATCTGGCAGCCGAACCAGCAGCAGCAGCTGCTGCGCTATCTCACGATGCCCACAGGCTCAGGCAGGTGGTTGAAGAGCAGCGCCGGCAGCTCCAGATGCAGCAAGAACTGCTGCAGAAGCAGCGAATCATGATAGCCCAGATGGAGCAGCAGCAGCAGCAGCAGCAACAACACCAGCAGCAAGCGCGCCGTGCGCAGATGGCCGAAAATCAGCTAGCTGCAGCAAAATGCGATAATTACAACTGCCAGATGCTGCAGCATCAGCATCATAGCCTGGAGCAGCGCTTGCATTTGCTGCAGCTGCAGCTTAACAGCATGCAGCAGCAGCTTCAGCAGCTGCAGATGCAACCCTGCGGCAGCAGAATCAATGCATCAGTTGTAAACATGAGCATTGAACAGCAGCAGCAGCAGCAGCAGGAGCTTCACCAGGTACGGCAAAACCTTGATGAGCAGTTACACCTGCTGTTCAGGCAGCAGCAGCAGGAGCAGCAGTTTCAAGAAGAGCAGCATATGAAGCACTTGCTGAGTGGACAAACACTGCAGCAGCAGCAGCAAAAGATGCAGGAGGAGAGAGATACACTTGGCACAGGGCAGCAACTGCTGCGACAATGTCTTGAAAACTATATAGGGCAGCAAAGAGACAAGCCGCAGCAACCGGAGCAGCAGGAACAGCAGCAGCTGCGTCAGCCACAAAGACGAGAACTGCAGGGGTACCAGCAACAGCAGCAGCGGGAATGGCAGGACCTGCAGCAGCAGCGAGAAAGGCAGAAACCGCATGAAGATAACTCAGCGATGCGGTGCTTAATGGACCTGCTACATGGTCCGTGGCCGCAGACGAACATGCGGGCTGAAACGCAACAGCAGCAGCAGCAGCAGCTGCTGCAGCAGCAACAGCAGCAGCTGCTACAACAGGAGCAGCAACAACAGCAACTGCTACAGCAGGAGCAGCAACGGCAGCAGCTGCTACGGCAGGAGCAGCAACAGCAGCAGCTGCTGGAGCAGGAGCGGCAGCAGCAGTTGCTGCTGCAGCAGGAGCAGCAACGGCAGCAGCTCCTACAGCAGCAGCAGCTGCAGCAGGAGCAGCAACGGCAGCAGCTGCTGCAGCAGCAGCAGCTGCAGCAGGAGCAGCAACGGCAGCAGCTGCTGCAGCAGCAGCAACTGCAGCAGCAGCAACAGCAACAGCAGCGACAACAACAACAGCAGCAGCAACAGCGCCAACTACAGCAGCAACAGCAGCAACAACAACTGCACCAGCAACAGCAGCAACTGCAGGAGCAGCAGCTGCAGCAACAGCAGCTGCAGCAACAGCAGCAACAGCAGCCGCAGCAACAGCAGCCGCAGCAACAGCAGCCGCAGCAACAGCAGCAACAGCAGCCGCAGCAACAGCAGCAACTGCAGGAGCAGGAGCCGCAGCAACTGCAGGAGCAGCAGCAGCAGCAGCAGCAACTGCAGGAGCAGCAGCAGCAGCAGCAACTGCAGGAGCAGCAGCAGCAGCAGCTGCAGCAGCAGCAGCTGCAGCAGCACCAACAACAATATCACCAGCGGCAATCTCGGCGCCACCTGTACCCGACATGGCTGGAACAGCAAAGGGAAATACAGCTGCTGATGCAGCAGCAACAGGCACAGCACCAACTGCCGAGGCAGCAGCCACAAGGTTTGCTGGAGCAGCACCCGCAGCAATGCAACGGACCTGGGCTGAGAGCTTGCATGGGGTTGGCACCAGAAGCGCAGCAACATCGCAGCAAAAACGGAGTGCATGCAGCAGAAGCTGCTTTAAGAGCTGCTGCTCTTGCAGCTGCCGATGCCTCAGCAGCTGCTGCTAGACTAGCCAAAAGCTTTGCTGCAGCAGGGCCGGGGCACGACAGTGGATGTGCTCAGAGCAGCAGCGTGAACAACCAGCGAAGCAGCAGCAGCAGCAAAAGCGGCGTCAGCGAAAACAGCAGCAGCAACCATCTGCCACCTGCTGCTGCCACTGCATGCCCCGACATTGAGGATTTGTCTGGAGTCATTTCGCCCCCCTCTGACGAAGAAGTTTTGCAAAAGCGAGGGAGAAGCAGAAGCCGCAAAACTCTGGGCAAGCAGGAGCTGCAGCAACAGCAGCTGCTGCAGCAGCAAGCAGAGGAGTCAGACGACGAGGCGTCCATATCTAGCGAGCCCAGCAACGACAGCGACTTTCAAAAGGACAGCTGCGTGCTGCAGCAGAGCAGCAGCAGCAGCAGCAGGCCGCAGCCTGCTGCTGCTGAAGCACAGCAGCGGGAAGGCCGAAAGCCAGGACCAGAAGAAGATGAAAGTGCACCTTCAAGTTATGACGCTGATGGCGACTTTGACTTTTACAAAATGCCTCTTTCTGAAGACGAAAATGGAGAGAAAAAGAAAAAAGCAGCAGCAGAGCAGCAGCAGCAGGAAGAGCAGCAGCAGCAGGAAGAGCAGCAGCAGCACCAAGAGCTGCAGCAGCAGCAAGAGCAGCAGCAGCAGCAAGAAGAAGAACAGCCTGAGTCACCTCTGCATCAGCACGAAGAGGGAGACAGCGATACCTCCAGCCACGATGCTGATGGAGATTTCGACTTCAACCAAATAAGCCGCCGCGATTATACTGATGAATCCGATCAGGAGGAGCAGCAAGAGCAGCAGCAGCAGCAGCAGCAGCAGCAGCAGGAGCAGCAAGAGCAGGAGCCGCAGACGCCGGGGCAAGAGCAGCTGGCGGACATAGAGCGAAGAATCCAACAGGAGCAGCAAGAGCTGCTGCGGGAAGAAGAACTGCTGCAGCGAGAAGAGCTGCTGCATCAAGAAGAGCTGCTGCGGCACCAAGAGCTGCTGCATCAAGGAGAGCTGATGCGGCACGAAGAGCTGCTGCGGCAAGAAGAGCTGCTGCATCAAGAAGAGCTGCTGCAGCAAGAAGAGCTGCTGCAGCAAGAAGAAGAAAGCGAAGCCTCGACTCAAGAGGATGATGAAGACCTAAACTCAAATACAAGCAGCGAAGAGTCGGACTCTGATGAAGAGGAAGAGGATGAGGAAGAAGATGAGGAAGAAGATGAGGAAGATGAGGAAGATGAGGAAGAGGAGGAAGAAGAGGGAGAGGAGGAGGAGGAGGAGGAGGAGGAGGAGGAAGAGCAGCAAGAGCTGCAGCAGCAGCCGCAGGATGAGCAGCAGCAGCAGCCGCAGCCGCAGCCGCAGGATGAGCAGCAGCAGCAGCAGCGAGGGAGTCCAATGACAGTTGAGCAGCAGCGTCAGTGGCAAGCTGTGATGGAGTCGCAGCAGCAGCGCCACCGCTACTGCTGCCTGCGGCAGCGGCAAGAAGCAAATCTGCTGCTGCTGCGGCAGCACCGGCAAGGAATACTGCAGCACACAAGTCTGCTGCCGCTGCGCGGAGCGCCCGCAAATGGCCAAGTGCTGCAGGGCAAAGAGCTGCTGGAGCAGCAGATGAGGCAGCTGCAGCAAACGGAGCGCTACCGGCGGCGGGTGGAGCAGCGGGAGCGGCTGCAGCAGCTGCAGCGCGAACAAAGAAGCAACACAGCTAGCTCTGATAGGCCAGACCCCCCAACTCGCCGTAGGCCGCCGCTGCAAACCAGGGGCCCCAACGACCAGCAACAGCCACGCCATCCAACGCAAGACTAGTCTTGCTGCTGCAGCAGCTGCTGCAGCAGCTGCTGCGGCTGCAGCAGCACGCGGAGGGGCAGGCGGAGCGGATAAGCTACTCAGATTCCAAGCAACTCGAAGAAGACGCTGTTACTCGTATTGGTGGTAGTAGCTAGCAAGCTGGCGGCCCCGCAGCTAGCTGACTAGCTAGCTGGCTAGCTAGCTAGCTAGCCAAATTGCAACTAGTCGCTTAGAGGTAGGCAGTGCCATGTGGCTAAACAGCGAGCAGCTGACCAGCCGAAACAGCTAGCGAAAAGCAGCTGAGCAGCAGTGATGCAGCAGCAGCAACAGCAGCAGCAGCAGGAACAGCAGCGAGACCAACAACAACAGCAATTAGCTGCAGAAACAACACTTTTCCGTTTGTGCTGTGTGACAGGTGCTCAGCAGCAGCGAAGGCCTGCCAAAGGGCTGCCTCAGCGCAAATGCTGGCGCTGCTGCTGCTGCTGCTGCTGCTGCTGCAGCTCCTGCTTCCTCGTGATCAAACGTGTATATCCTAGTCCAGTACTAAATATGTATTTAGGGAAAACCACAAACTGCCCATTCTAATTTATTTGCAGCTATTCGCAGCAGCACGAGGCTAAATGCCGTTTTGAACTCAACGCCGCACTACTAGCTAGCTAGCTGCCACTATACCGGGCCTAGCATTAGCTAGCTAGCTATTCCTAGCATTAGCCAGCTAGCTGCTCCTACACGAGACCTAGCCGCTCCCGTACCAGGCCTAGAATTAGCTAGCTAGCTGCTCCCATATCAGATTATCACTAGCCAGCTAGCTGCTCTTGGACCAGGCCTAGCATTAGCTAGCTAGCTGCTACTATGCCAGGGCTATCACTAACTAGCTAGCTACTCTTATACCACGTCTACCATTAGCTAGCCAGCTGCTCCTATACGAGGCCTAGCATTTCCAGCTAGCTGCTCGTATACCAGACTCCGCATTAGCTACCCAGCTACTCATGTTACCAGGCCGAGGCCTAGCACTTGCTAGCTGCTCCTACGCGAAGCCTAGCATTAGCTAGCTAGCTGCTATAATAACGGGCTTAGCATTAGCTAGCTAGTTGCTCCTATATGAGGCCTAGCACTAGCTGGCTAGCTAGCTACTCCTATACGAGGCCTGGCATTACCCAGCTAGCTGTTCCTATATCAAGGCTAGCCACACAGCTAGACTAGTGCCAGCTTGTGGTATATTAAAGAGTGCCTGTTTTGCTGCTGCTTCTGCTGCTGCTTCTCATCCCTGGAGCTGCTTCGCCTGTAGCTGCTGCAGCTAGCCACAAGAGCAAAGCTCACACATGACACAACACCCCACACCACCACCTTTAAAAGGGGAAGCAGCAGCAGCAGCAACCCCACCCTGCCGTTGCTTCCAAGTTGTTTGTCAAGGTGAAAAAGCCACTTCGCAACTGCTCCCGAGGAGTCAGTTGTTGCTGCTGGCGCAGGCAGCAGCAGCAGCTGTTTGCTTAGCAGCTGCTGCTGCTTCCTTAACAGCTGCTACAGCTCTATTGGCCTCGCAGCTGTTCCTGCTGCGGCTTGTGTGTCAGTCAAGTGCTTCGTAAGGCCAGCGTCATGTAAAGTGAACTCATAAGCAACAAAAGCATCCGCTGGAGAAGCAGCACCAGCAGCAAGAAGACACATGTCCTGCAGCAGCTGCCGCACCCTAGGGCCTCTGAACACTTCAAGACAGTGCAGCAGCAGCTGCTGCTGCACCGGATCCAACTCCTGTAAAGGGGATCGTTTGCAGCTGCCTCCTCCGGCGGCCCCAGAGCTGCTGCTGCTCGCACCGCTGCTGCTGCTGCTGCTGCTGCTGCTGCTGCTGCTGGGCTCCTTCAGCCAGGATGAAACGCACAGCAGCAAAGTGCTGTTGTACCTCTCGCCCCACTGCGCGAATACCTTCCACAGCACGGCCAGACTCTCGATGCCCCAGACGCCCAGAGAGCCGAGGATAGCTGGCAGCAGCTGCTGCAGCTGCTGCTCTGTTTGGTGCTGCTCTTCCTTTGGGCAGCAGCAGCAGCAAACGTACAAGTAACTTAAACACCTCTTGGCCACCTCTGCGTCGTCGCCCCGCAGAATGTGCGCACACAGCACGAGCGACTGTTCATATGTTCGACTGCTGAAAAAGCTGCTGTCGCCTGCTGCTGCTGTTGCTGCTCCTTGCTGCTGCTGCTGCTGCTGTTGCTGCTGCTGCTGCGGCTGTTGCTGCTGCTGCTGCTGCTGCTGCCCAGAGGCTGACGCAAAGGCCGACAGAAATTCCAGCAGCGGGATGTACGCATCGGCCATGTCCGGGGAGAGGTGAGGGCTCAGGTGTACATACAGCTCAACTGCAGCAGCAGCATCATGAGAGATTCGCTGTCGCACCAAAGCCTGCAGCTGCGCATTTGCTGCTGTGACCTTCAGCAGGTCCGACAGCAGCACGATGCAGCAGCCCTGCAGCGCCACAGCAGCTGCGACGCTCGGCTCCTGCTGCTGCTGCTGCACTGCAGCAGCAGCAGAAGAAAGACACGCCTCCACAATCAAAATCACAGCTCCCCACATGTCTTGTGCATCTTCTCTGCAGCCCAGAACAGCCAGCAGCAGCCGCAGACACCGCAGCGCCCGGACGAAGAGAGCCCCCCCTGTTTCCGTGTCCTGCTGCTCTTGCTGCTGCTGCTGCTGCTGCTGGTAGTACTTCTCGGGCTTCTGCAGCTGCGGCATTCGGGGCTTCAAGTCCAGCAGCAAAGAAAAAGGCAAACGGTCTCTGCCAGCTCCCACCCGCGGCGGTGCTGCAGGGCAGTGCAGCAGCACATCTTGCACAAGCTGAAGCAAATAGACCCACAGGGGAGTGTCGTTGCCTTGTCCTTGCTGCTGCTGCTGCTGCTGTTGCTGCTGCTGCTGCTTCAGGGAGCAGCTGGAGCCGTGTTTCTGAAGGAACTCTTGCTGCTCCTTCGGCGACCGCAGCAGCAACAGCGACAGGCAGTCGCTTGCTGCGCTAGAGTCGCTGCTGCCAGCAGCTGCAGCAGCAGCAGCAGCTGCAGCGGGGCCCCTGGACACTTCAACCTTCTCTGAAAAAAAGGCAGCAGCGCAGCAGTCGAGTCGCGCGAGGAGGCGTGCTGCCTGGTGGCGCCTGCTGCTGTTGCTGCTGCTGCTGCTGCTGCTGTTGCTGCTGCGGATGCCCTCCGCCGTGTCTTGGAGAAGCTCGCAAACAAGACACATCATGTCGAGGGGCGGAAAGTTCTGCAGCAGCTTAATCACTGCAGCATGCAGCGTGCCATCTACTTGGGGCTGCTGCTGCGGCGCTGCAGCAGCAACAAATCGGTAGAACTCGCGGAGCTGCTGCAGACGCCTCTCGGCCATGACGGCGGGGTCTGCGGTAGCAGCGGCAACGGCAGCAGCAGCAGCAGCAGCAGCAGCAGAGGCTGCGTTGGAAACGGCCGCCGCAGCAGCTGCGACGGCTTCCGGGGAGGAGTCGGTGGGGAGCTGCTGCTGCTGCTGCAGCTGGAGGTCCTCGAGAGCAGCAAAGCCGAGGTGGTGGCCGCCCCAAGTGGCCAGCTGCAGCAAAGTCTCTGCAACAAGCGGCGGCTGCAGCAGCAGCAACCTGCCGATGGAGCGCACCGAAGACACCCACAGCGCCGACAGCAGCGGGTGGCAGCAGCAAACTGAAGCAGCAAGCCCCGACTGCAGCCCGTCATAGACAGGGTCTTCAGTGAAGTGGATGGTGACTTTGCGCAGCAGCAGCGCAGCAGCAACAGCAACTCTGGGCTCCTGCGGCAGCCGCTCGAGCGACAGCAGCACAGCAGCAAGCGGCAGCGGAATGCCGTTGAGGGTTTCTATGAGAGCGTCGCAGAGCAGCAGCAAACTCTCTGCTGCGCATGCGTCGGCCTTGTTGACTGCCTGCAGCAGCAGCGCAGCAAAGAAAGCCAGGAACTGCAGCAGCTGCTGCTGCCCGCAGGCCTCGTACAGACTCAGCAAGTCCGTCAGCACATCTCCTGCTGCATCAATGAAGGAAACCCATTCTTCGTTGCCTTCTTGCTGCCAGCAGCAGCTGTCGCGGCGGCTGTGGCGCAGCAGCGCGGAGATGCAGCAGGGAGCAACAGCAGCAGCAAGCTGCTGCAGCAGCTCCTGCTGCAGCAGCCCGTCCCGCCGCATTTCCTTCACCTGGTCCCAAAAGGCGGAGACCCGCAGCCAGGTGAGCGGGTTGGCCTGCCACAGCAGCAGCAGCAGCCGGCCTGCTGCAGCAGCAGCAGGCAGCAGCAGCAGCTGCGGGTGCCCCTCGATCACCGTCAGCAGCACGCCGCACCAGCGAATCAGCGCGGCAGTCTTGCTGCTGCGCGGCTGCTGCTGCAGCAGCAGCAAGTTCTCCTCCACGTCCTGCGCCAGCTGCTGAAACTTCAGCAGCAGCTGCTGCAGCAGCAAACCCTCCGGAGTGTGCGCGGGCATTGTGGGGCGCCCCCAGAACGCCTCCAGGCCCCCCGGAGCTGTCTGTACACCCCAGAGAGCCATGAAAGCCGGCAAACGAGGAAGAGCAGCAACAAGACAATCAGTTAAATAACTTTCATGAAAAAAAGAGTCCAAAGAAGTTCCCAAAGACCGACAAAGATCTCCCACGGGAATGTCTGCGGTTTCCGCGCCTTCCAGCCACACCGACAGCAGCGCCAGCGCCGCCTCCCCGCACTTCGCCTCCACGCTGCTGCTGCTGCTGCTGCTGCTGCTGCTGCTGCTGCTGCTGCTGGCCGCCACTGCTGCAGCAGCAGCAGACAACACGCTGGTCCCGAAGGATAACACTGCGGGACGAGCAGCAGCTACTGCGCGGCTGGGGGCCCCGTCTAAGTGCCTGCGGGGGCCCCTCGAGGGGATATCTAAAGAGCGCAGAATGGAGGGGAGAGCAGCAAGTGCTGCTAGGCTGACCCAGAGGCTCCAGTCGAGGGCCAAGCTGCTGCTGCTGCTGCTGCTGCTGCTGCTGCTGCTGCTGCTGCTGCTGCTGCTGCTGCTGGTGCTGGTCGCGCTGCTCGCCGGCGACAGCGGCGACGCGGCCCGGCTGCGGCTCCCGAACGAGATCAGCTGCGCCACCGGCTCCCACAGCTGCTGCTGCTGCTGCTGGTCTTCGAGCTGCTGCTGCTGCTGCTCCTCCTCCCCCTGCTGCTGCTCCTCCTGCTGCTGCTGCTGCTGGTGCACGTCCGCTATCCGCTGGAACGCAAGCGCCGCCAGGCAGTGGCCCAGCCGCCCCCCCACCGCGTAACTCAGCTGCTGCTCGTGCTGCTGCTGCTGCTGCTGCTGCTGCTGCTGCTGCTCCTGCATGTGAATCACTGCAGCAAACAGCGCAGCAGAAAGCTCGTCCTTGTGCTCCTGCGGAAGCAGCAAACCCTCGTTTTCTATCTTCCAAGCCAGCGTCTGCGCCCCCGCCAGCTGCAGCTGCTGCTCCTGCTGCAGCAGCAGCTGCCTCGCCACAGTCCAAGCAGCAGCAGACCGCTGAAACTGCAGCAGCCAGCTGTTTGCTGCTGCCTTCTTCTGAGGGTCCGGGTTGGTGTACAGGCACTCGAGCTGCTGCTGCAGCAGCAGCACTAGGTGCTCCCCATCCTCCCGCTCGCCAGCTGCTGCTGAAGCTGCTGCTGCTGCTGCTGATGCTGGTGCTGCTGCAGCGTCAGCAACAGCAGCTGACGAGCAGTAGCCTGAGGGGCCACCCCGGGGCTCCATGGCCAAGGAGGAACAAAGGCATCTGCTGCTGCTGCTGCTGCCTGCGTCGCCGCTGCGGTTGCTCTTGCTGCTGCTGCTTCTGCTGCTGCTGTTGCTTCGGAAGGCCTGCGGGCTTGCTGCGACGCGCCTGGCCGCGAGCAGCTCCTGGGAAACAGCAGCTAAGCAGCTGCTGCTGCTGCTGCAAGCTGCTGCAGGCTTCAGCGTAGCAAACTGGCAGCAAAGCACATAACCTGGGACCTAAATTCTCAATTAAAAGCATTAAATATCCTAATTTAAGCCACCAGTGTGCAAACAAGAGGCAAAAACTTTGCTGCGCTTCTTCTTGCTGCAGAGCCTCAGCGGCGGTCGCATGCGCCGCGGCTGCAAGATCACCAGCAGCCCCAGCTGCTGCACACCACAAGTAATTAAAACAAAAATAATTCCAAAATATTAAAATATAATTCCTTTTTTAATTCAAGTTCTCCCAAATTTTGAGACAAAGCGCGGAATTTGCACTATTGCTGCTGCTGCCGTCGCTGCTGCTGCCCCGGTGTGTGAGTCGCTGCAGCACGAAGCAAACCTCCCGCGCAGAAGCTGTGAAGGCTCTTGCTGTTGCCTTGCTGCAGCAGCAGCAACAACTGCTGCAGCAGCAGCCGCTGGGCAGCCAACAGCGCCGCAGCGCCGCAGCTGCAGCAGCAGCTGCAGCAGAAAGCACGCCAGAAGAGCTTCCGAGGCAAATACAGCTGAGCACGCAGCAGCAGCAGCAGCAGCAACCGCAGCCGATCATATATGCAGCAGCAACCTTCCACGGCTCGAATCTACTGCAGCACAAGCAGCCCAAGCAGCTGCGGAAACAGCAGCAGCAGCAGCAGCTGCTGCAGCAAGAGCCGCAGCGGCAGCAGCTTCTAGCCGGCAGTGCCGGGGCCAGCCTTTGCACCGCCACCACTAGCAGCAGCATCTTCAGCAGCAGCAGCAGCAGCAGCGCCACCAGCAGCAGACGCAGGATCGCCCGCAAAACACTAACACTGGACCCCCAGCAGCAGCAGCAGCAGCAGCAGCAGCAGCAGCAGCAGCAGCAATGGGCGGGGCTTCAGTTCCGTGGGGGCGCGTGGGGGCTTTCTTCTCCTCCCACAGACTCTTCAGCAGCAGCAACTTTCGTTTTGTTGCTGCTCTTTGTGGCTTTTCCTTTTGTGTCTGGAGCAGCGCGCAGCACGTTCCTTCCGGCCATGTTGCTCTCATTCAAAAGCGAAAAGATGGTCTGCTGCTGCTGCTGCTGCTGCTGCTGCTGCTGCTGCTGCTGCTGCTGCTGCTGCTGCTGTTGCTTTTGGGGCAGCTGCGTGGGATGGAGACGCTGGGGCGCCCGTTGAGGGTGCAGCAGCAGCAGCAGCTGCTGCTGCTGTTGCTGCTACTGCTGCTAGGGGTAGTGCGGGTATTGCTGGCATAGTCTTTTGCTGCTGCTGCTGCTGCTGCTGCTACTGCTGCTAGGGGTAGTGTGGGTATTGCTGGCGTGAACTTTTGCTGCTGCTGCTGCTGCTGCCTAGGGGAGATTTTGGTGCTGCTGCTGTCGCTGTGGCCGCTGCTGCTTTGGCTGTCGCTGCTGTTGCGTGTGCTGCTGCTGCCGCTTTCGTTGTGGCTGCTGCTGCGGCTGCTGCTGCTGCTGCTGCTGCTGAATGCTTTTTGCATTTTATTTTAAATTTGCTTATGGCGCTGCTGTTGCTCTCGCAGCTGCTGCGCTCAAGTGCTTGCGTGGCTGCTTCCTTTTGCTGATTTTCTTTATTTGATTCTGCTTCTCCTTTTGCATTTCTGCTGCATCTTAGCCTCAGCATTTATTTATTTATTTTCTGTTTATTTTAATTTATTCTTTTTTAATTTTAATTTATTTCTAAAATAAAAGAAAACAGAAAATAAAATAGTTTCCGAAAATACGTCCAGGCGTATGCGGGGTTTTAACGGAAGGTTCCCGAAATATATCTTCAGTTCGGACAGCAATATGCAAGAGAGTAAGTTTTGCTGCTGCTGCTGCTGCTGTTGTTGTTGCTGCTGCTGCTGCTGTTGTTGTTGTTGCTGCTGCTGCTGCTGTTGTTGCTGCTGCTGCTGCTGGCTGCGGCCGCTGCCGGTGCGCCTTCGTGTAGTGTGTGCTGCAGCTGCAACTGCTGCTGCTGCAAATGCTGCAGCAGCAAATGCTGCAGCAGCAAATGCTGCAGCAGCAAATGCTGCAGCAGCAAATGCTGCAGCAGCAAATGAAAAGTGTGGGGTCCTGTTCCGAAAGAAAACACAAATCCAAAAATCTTTTTCTTCGTTTTTGCCTGTAAACGCGTCAAACGCTTTTCAAGTGAAAACTACTTAATTGACGACATGAAGAAAAATCCGAAAATGCAAAAAATGAAATTCTCGAAAGGCTCAAAGACGCAGCAGCATTTTACAAAGTTGTCATCACAGAAGCCGTCAGACTCTCACGCTGCTGCTGCTGCTGCTGCTGCCGCTTTTGCTGCTGCTTTTGCTGCTGCTGCTGCTTTTGCTGATGCTTGTGCTGCTGCTTTTGCTGCTGCTGCTGCTTTGCTGATGCTTTTGCTGCTGCTTTTGGTGCTGCTGCTGCTTTTGCTGCTGCTGCTGTCGTGGGTTTTGCTGCTGCTACTGCCCCAGCTGCTATAGTTGCTGCTGCTACTCCTCCTGCTCCTACTGCTGTTTTTCGCTGCTGCTACTGCTCTTGTTGCCTTCTTTTGCTGCTGCTGCTGCTCCTGTTGCCGTGTTTTGCTGCTGCTCGTGTTGCTGTTCTTTGCTGCTGCTGCTGCTCGCGGCCTGGTGCTATTGGCGGTGGCCTGGCACCCGCTCCTGGTGCTGCTTGTGTGGCTGCTACTGCTGCTGCTGCTGCTGCTGCTACTGCTGCTGCTGCTCGTAGCAAACAAAAGTGCAATCTTAGCAGTGGCTGGACAGATTAAATATTTTCCTCGATTGTCTTTTTGTGTTCTTTTGCACGAAATTCAGAAGATCATTTTGAGGGACCCAAACGCCGAGGAGGACTAAAGGTTCAGCAGCTGCAGCAGCTGCAGCAGCAGCTGCAGCAGCTGCAGCAGCAGCTGCAGCAGCTGCAGCAGCAGCTGCTGCAGCTGCAGCAGCTGCAGCTGCAGTAGCAGCAAGGGCTGCTGCAGCACAAGCCAGTGCGCCCGCAGCAGCACCAGTCGCTTGCTGCTGCTTCTGCTGCTGACTGCATACATCGTTTTTGGTAAAGACACAGCAGCAGTCTTATGTCTTTCTTATTAAAAGCACATACAGAGACGCAGCAACACAGCAGCAGCTGCTGTCACAGCAGCAGCCGCTGCAGTTGCTGCGAAAGTATTTGCTGTTTGCGCAGCAGTTGCTGCCGCCGCTGCACCAGCTGCAGCAGCTGCAGCAGCTGTTGCGCAGCCGCTGCTGCAGCAGCTATGCGATTTAGAAAAGCTAATGTTCACGAGTGCTAAAACCAAGTAAACGCACTTCCGCGTGCTGCTGCTGCCGCTGCTGCAGCTGCTGCAGTGCTGCCGCTGCTGCAGCTGCTGCAGCTGCTGCCGCTGCGCAGCAGCAGCCGCTACTGCGCAATTATGTTTTTTTGACGATTTGAATTACATCTTCGTCCGCCAGCTCGTGCCCTGCATGCAAAGCAGCAGCAGTTCCGCGAGGTGTCGAGACACCCCGACGTGCAGCAGCTGCAGCAGCAACTGCAGCAGCAGCAACAGCCGCAGCAAGAGCAGCAGCAGCAGCAGCAGCAATAGCACGCGCACCTAGCCCAACGTGCTGCGGCTGGTGCTTCGCACTAGCCCCCCAAACAAAAGCAAACTTGAAGTCCTTTAGTAAATCCTGAAAGCATGCATGCAGCAGCAACAGCGCTAGTATTACAAGCAGCTGCCTTCGCAGCAGCAGCAGCAG